ACATTATGATATTTTATTTCAAGAGGAATTATACAATGAAGCATGTGTTTGTACTTGTTAGTTTTGCATTAATTAAAGTATTAGTTTGCAGAAATGTACAGGTCAATAAACAACAAAAGCCAAATATCTAGCGGCAAGAAAAGTAACAAAGAAGATTGTTTAGTTGAAAAGTATTATCACTAAGATGGAAGTGAAATACAATGTTGTTAATCTTCATTGTGATAATTAGAGATCATTATTTTTTCCAGCAAATCAAATGATGAATAGCAAATTGAAGCAAATCAAATATCACTTTTTCAAATGATAAATAAGTAGTTTTCAAAAAGATGTTTGACTTATTTTTTTGAGGTTAATTCAGGTTAACCTCATGTTTAGCTATTTCTAACCAAGATTGGTCGAGGTTAACTCTGATACATTTATGAAAGTTAGTTTTTTGAAAAAATTTAAGAAACATTGTGCTATTTTGCAAGTTTAGTATGAAAAGCATATAAAAATTGTACTAGCAATTTTGTAATATATATATTATCTATCTTTATTAACTATAGCTCATTTCAAGTTGCTTTAGTTTATAGAGAATTCTATGTTGAATCTCATTCTAGATTTTTTTTAAACTAAATTTATATGTCTCAAAGATGATTGTTCACAAGACATAAGTTAAGGGAAAATTATTATGAGTTAATTCAGGTATTAATTAAGCTATAATCAGCTTAAATATAGTACGTGAAACTCGTTAGTTTCAATTATGTAAGAGAGCTCCTTGAAAGTTTTAATGACACAATTAGGCATTTTTGAGAAAAAAATCTAATTGTTTCCATGAACGTAATCTGCAATGGTGAATTACTAATTTCATATGTAGATTATGCTTGTGCATTTGTTCTTGTGATGTAATCTTGGTGTGTGAGTGTGTTAATATCTGTTATCATTAATTGTGTTCAAATATGTCTTAATTTTTTGTTGAATCTCCAACATGCAAAATTTTGAACATATGGAGTTGAATATTTATACTCGTGTCTAATTTCATAAAATACTAAAATGATTTTTTGGAAATATTTAAACAAAATAGTATTTAACTTCTTAAAAACTTTGTAACAAGTTTTTAAATGATTTTTTTGCAATAGTTGGAAAAAATCGTATTTAACTTTTTTTGAACTTTGTAACACTGAATGCTTTAAAGCATTCAGTGTGTCAAAAAAGTATGGTATCTTTAATCCTCCATATTTTTGTAACAATACATGCGACTATTATTGTAATTGTCAAAACAATCTTGCATTTTTTACTATGTACATTAAATTTAAGCAATCACTTTGCATTTAACAGAATTAAATTTGGATTGATAATTCTCATAAATTTTTTTTAGTTAAAAATATTTTCAATATAGAATTGGAGCAAATTTGTTTTTGACAGTTTTTGAAATACAGTAAATAGTGTTTTTGATATTTAATTTCTATTTTTTTATAGTATATTTTTATCCTAAATTGATCTAGTATTTTAGTTTTTGTGCTTGTATGTTTAAAATTTCATCAGATTATTATTCATTTTCCAAATATTTTTTTTGAATTTTGTCACTAATAAATATTTTAAAATATCAAATAAATATTTTAAAATTTTGAAATCATAAATAACACATAAAATGAAATCGAAATATTTTCATTTTATAGATGATCAAAAACCAGTTTGGAAACATATAAATGGAAAAATAAATGAAATTGAAAGAAAGTAGATTATTCACATAGTTGAAATTGATACTTATCAAAAAATTTAAAGACCAAAAAGCTCTAACATGTTAGATTGCAATCCAAATTTGAATCCATTTTTGAAAAATTGCAATTTATTCATAAAATATAATATTAATTCTTTTATTAAGGAAATACAAACATCATTTACATGCAAATCCTACTATAAAGAAGTATAAAAAGTTGTTAGAGTAAAGAATTAAAATGATAATTTTTTCAGGTATAATATGATCATCAAATTGTTTATGGAATTGGAAATAATATCTGTGTAATTTTGAATCATTTATTCAGTCATATTTTTCCGAAAGCATAATCTTTTAACTCAATCTATGAAATAGAAATTTTCTGAAGTAAATTTATATATAATTTTTGTCTCCACTAAGCTCCATTTTTCTTTAATTGAAAGTATACTCCTTGTATCAATATACTCAAATAAGAGATGTGTGTAACCTTTTATCTATATATATATATATATATATATATATAAGTTGTGTGACAACATGAAAATAATTTGTAAGAATTCAAATAGGTGCAATTTGCTTGTAAATGTCAAGTTTTTTTTTGTTGGAATCCCCTCCTCATATTTAAGGTCCAAAAGGATTTAGATCTACACAATAACAAGATAACTTTGGTAATACTCCCTAATATTGTGTATAAATTAGATTATTAATCTTGTGGAAGACAATATGGGAGGGTCAACTTTAGTTGCACCCAATACTTTTAACACTCCTCGAATGATAGTCATCGAATGTGTACAAAAATATCTACTGAAAAAGACGAAATATATACCACGTACACGATGGAATCTACTTGCTTTGGAAATCCATCCCATGTCATTTATACTTTCCACTTTTGAACCCCGTTTCTCAGTTGGTAGTTGGTAGACAACACTCGTCCAGACAAAACTCTTTTTTTATAACTTGGGCAACGTCATCCCAATCGCCTCTGTCTTGTTTAGCCTTTTGATGCTCGACGAGCGCCTCTCCTCACAAGATTGCAATCTAATCCTTGGATGTTCTTGTCATCCAATTGGATTATTGGATATTTACACATCTCTACACAAAGATGAAAGCATATAAAATTTCACCGCAAAACCACGACAGGAGTGATTAGATTTCAACCTTCACTAGAAGTGATTAGATCCCTGATCACTTCCAAATGCATTAATTCTCAAGATGTCTTACTTCGATTTGGCACGAGGATGATAAGTTCCCGAAGACATATTCGGATCGTGCAAATCTCCGGTTGGAACGTATAACGCATCTTGCCGAGAATCGGAGAATCATTGTAGTGAGCTAGTCTCCGCACGATTAATTCGACGTCGAACAAAATACGTAAAGGACGAACTGGCATTAAGTTTGAATATGACTAAGTGCCGACTTTTCTCAACGGTCTCTATGCGTTCCCGTTCTTCAACTTGCGCAGAGGCCAGCGCTTGTAAATCTATAGCCTAAATTTCGAACTCAAAATTTTCGGCGTAAATGCTAGAGTTCAGAATATTTCGTGTACGAAGTGACTGCTTTATGGCAAGATTAAACAAAAACAACTAAGGAAAGGCCAACATTTTACTTCAAATCTGCACCCAGACCAGACCGTAACCATCAGCTGCGACCTAAGCTCACCCATCCCACCCATGCTATTCAAATTACGCCAATTGTGTTCAGTGTATTAAACGGTTACACTAATTCTTGGTTGGATCTTGACGAACATTGCCCATAGCATTACTTGTGCCCGCCCATGGAAGAATAATGTCACCCAAAACCCACCAAAAACCCATGGGCATGGGCACCCAATGTTGGGCTCTGCAACTAAGGTACAACAAATCTACGTTTCGGGAAGGATTACGTGGAAGTGTTTTGAGACAGTTTGAAAATCCTGATAATTATCTGACGACCTGTACTTGAGAGCAGGGCCAAGACAAGGATTGACTTCACTTTTCGCGGGTGACCGGGTCAAGTTTAGGAAGCCTTTCGTACCTCGCAGATAAAATCTGAAATCTGGATTAGGAAGCCGGGAAGATACAGACAGATCCAACGCCCGTTAAGGAATGAGGTGCTAGGCGGCAAGAGTACAAGTTGCGCCAGCAGGAAAACGAAAAGAAAAAATCAGGGGAAAGTAGAAGCGAATCCACTGCCCACTCGGAGAGCACTGAGCAGCACGCAAGGAGAGGTCAGATGAAAGCTCCTCGAGCGTGACCCAATCATAACCTATTCCCCTCTGTAAAGCCACCGAGATAGGTCAGCCCAGGCCCCAGCTCATCTCGGAAGTAGGGGGAACCACTGCCGGGTTTAGTATCCTTTCTAGCACCGGTGTTCATTCTTGGAGCCGGTGGAGGATGCACTGCTCTAGATCGCTGGCATTAGAATACTCCGCTTCCAGCACTTCATCACGGTGAGTGAGATGGAACTCTCAACGAGCCCAATGTCACAAATCGTCGTTGGTCGGGTTCAGAGGGTCTGGTCCTGCAATGTAAAACACGAAACCAACCTGCAATTGAGTTCCATCTCTTCAAATTGAACTCTTGTCTCAAATCAATTCAGCGGCCGAACCTTGATCTTAAACAATCACATGGGAGTTCGAACTCGAATGATCTCAAAACTTCCAAGATAGATTTGTTCCCACGCAATAACTACAATTTCATGTTAGCATCGAGAGTGCTAAATTGTTCTTCTTGACTAGGTTGATGTGATGGTGCTAAAGAGCAGAATTTGGTGCAATAATTACGGTAATTGCTTCCCTCCCCGATATCCATCTGTTCATATCCTCTCACAAATAGCGATGAGCTGGTTAATCTTGGACTTCGGAAGTGCAGAAATGAAGGTGAGTCGATTAAAACTTCCTATGTCAACGAAGAGCATGTTACTTTTCTTTGACTGTATAAATCTGGAGGGACACGACTTTGCATTGGAATGTGCAGGGACAAAACTTGAACCCGAAACTGACACTAGCACGAAACACTTTACTATAGTTCGTGTTGAAGGACCTACGAACAATAATAGAGCCTCTATACGCAAGACAGAGGCACTCTGTCTACATCTCATCATCGCTTTCTGCGGCTATGAAAGTTCTAATTACGAAACCTTCCGTCCAAAGCACAAGGCCATATGATTTAATCTCAATAGTTCCGAATTCGCGCTGATTGCTGTGTGTCTGTTTTGCATCATGACTTTGAAATCTCATCGCCTTTTGATCTGTAAAAAGATGGTGTAATTTAGTGCACGCCGTAATTTCGCATTGTACGTGTTGCTAATAGTGCTAACTATCTTCAAGAATTCACGAGCCTAACGAATGTTTTGGGGAAAGGTGCAAATCTTGAAGAGAATCATAAGGATCATCATCTGGTTTTACTAGTTTCCTCCCGCACATGTTCACACAAGCTGAATCTGCAAAGACTTCGTTGGGAAATATGGAGCAAAACTATCATGTCCGCTCGAATATAAATGGGCTCTCTTCAGATTCATCATAAGGTAATCAATGTGCAATCTGAAAATAACAAGTCCAAAATGAACATCTTAAATCCACTTTACACATTTCAGTGGGACCTGCCTAGATCATCCACATGCGCCTTCACTACATTTAAGGTGGTAGCTAGGTTCATTTTCGCACCAAGAAGTGTGAATCTACTCGGTCCGGGGCTATACCCATCCTGCTTTCTGCAGATAGTCACAAAACGAATTCTTTCACTCACAAAAACTTAAGTAAACTCTTTCCCTTACAAAAACTGAAGTAACTGTTTTCTGTAAATTGATCTCATTACAGTGAGATTCAAAAAGTCCTTCAAACTTTAAAGGGACAGCCAATCAACTACCTCTGTCGAGAACCCAGAGCTTCACTGCGAAAGAAATCTTCACAGATTTCTATAGAATTGAGCAATCTACAGACTTGACGATTCAATTACTGGTAGTTCTTCCCATCAAAACTGAATCAACGAAGAAAAACACAGTTCATGGCTAAGCGACTTTCCTCTTTTAAGTGAACATACATAGACTAAAGAGTAAAAGAGAGAATATTAAGATACGAAGACCAATCATACCTCATTGAAGACTTGACGAAAAATGGGAGATTTCCAAATACATTAAAACTTCCTATATCTTCATGAATGAAACGTCAACAGTTAGCATATCAAACTAGTGTGCCCAGGTGAGAAATGCTACGAAATGCTTATAATGTCATGGGAAAAAGAAAAAGTCCAAAATCATAAGCACCGAATAACTTTTCCACGATCTGATATACTTCGGCACGCTAAAAACTCACTCACACATGAAGCCAACTATTCCACGTTCCTCCCCGGTCCCTACGAAGCTACAACGTTATGTTCACAACAGAAGCCCAAATTCCAACCTCCAAATGATCCATCACAATCGTGAAAACCTTTCCAGATAAGCAGCTTTTCAACTGGAGGTGACTACAAGCTGAAGACCTGGCCACAAAGCAAGAGTGTAGTAACGTTTTTTTGTCTTTATTATGTGTGTGAAAGTATTTACAACGGACCTTCTACCTACCACTTCGACTATCAAGTGTATGTTCGTGAAATTCAGGACACTTTCTCGTTTGATCACATATCACTTTTGATAAACAATCCACTTCAAGTATCCTCAAAGCTAGTATTATGATTGAGGCCATATCATTTACCTGGTCATCAACAGCCTTCAGGTGCCAAAAGCTTACAACGAGCATTTCACTCTCTGCCATGCTGGACACGCTCAAAATAATCCTGGCTGTCTCAAGAAGATAGCAGCAGGTTTACTACTGATATTAACAGCGTGGAAAGACGAAGTTGTACACTGCAAATAAACCTGGCCTGCAAACAGTGGGCAGTACCTGGTCTATAGAACTCGGCAAAATAGCCCCGTAACTTCGGGATATCCTGCCCAAAACTTACTTACCCTGTACAGATTAAGGAAAGGATAGCAGAGTCAAGTGTTGAATCTACAGAAAAAGTACAAGTAAGAAGAAGTTCTCTCACTCAGCTCAAACATATCCTTTTGGTAACCTTGACCAACTACATGGTCGAGTTGAAGCTATTTTTAAGATCCAGAGAATTGAAAACCATGTCAGAGGGACTTGTCACTGAGAGTTTCGTGGTGACCTAAACCAACGGTTGCTCTGCTTCTTAGTGTCTCTTTCATACTTATGGAGTGCCTCCAGCGCACTTGATGCAGCTTCGACACAATCTGGATCAGCTTTCAAGTCCATCAACTTGGGTATACACCCACTATCACGTATGGACTTGCAAACGTCTGCCTGTGGACCATCTTGAATGAGGTATCTAAGAAGGATTGCCGCTTGGCTTTTACAGTCGCTCCTAGACTCGTTTTGTAGAATATCCTTGAGCCCGGGCACAACATGTGGTACTTCATATATAGCACTGCACACCTCCTTGGAACACTGATCATTTTCGGCGACCATCACCAAAATCCTGGCCAAAAAACCTTTCGCTTGGCCAGGAGTACCTGGCTGGAACAAAATCCGGAGCAAAAGTGGGATACCCTGTGCTTCAATCAAAGACGATCTACCTTTCCCCTCCAACATAAACCGTTCTAAGGCAACAACAGCGAATTGTACAATCTGTGAAGAAACATCATCTTCATGGCGCCTAAGTCTTTCTAACAGAACTTTGACCACTCCTTCACCCTCTTGTAACAACACTGCCCTTGCACTATGACCAAAAAGGCTGATGTTTCGAATGATGCGGACAGCAAAATCAACGGCCTCCTCAGTTGATGTGGACTCCCTGTGTACCACCCGAAAGATCTGACATGGCAGGCTTAGCAACATAAACCTACTGTACAGAAGAGGGTCCTTATCCCTCAAAGCTTGGCGACTTAGCTTCAGCAGAACTTCAAGAACCAGCTCCTCGACCCCCGAGGACGCTTTCGATAATGTGGAGACAAGTAACGGCATGTAATCCTCCTTCAAAAGGATTTTCGCGTTCTCTAGATTGTCAACAGCTACGTTTAAGAGCTCCAGTACATCCTCTTGTTCTGCTTCCCCGACGTGCTCTCTCAACAGAGTCTTGAAGCAGCTCATATGAGCAACGTCCATGAATATACGTCGTGACTCAGCGTCACTCCTTAGTAAGGTCACAAGAGCACTCGCTGCTACTTTTCTCTCGTCCAAATCAACGCCAGTCAAGACATGATAAAGGGCTTCTACTCCACCCAGATCTCTTATGATGTCTGCACCATTCCTGTTGTTATCTAAAATGACTTCGAGAGCTTCTATTGAATTAATGCTGACTGTCCTCCCGGAACCACGTTGAATGGAATGGATCGCCTTCTCAATGAAACCTGCCCTAATTGCACAGTCCCTGGTGGGTATATACGTGACCAAGGACCTGAGACCTCTGACTGCTTCTGACTTCATCTTTCCCCTCTCAAGTGCATCTACAAGCATGACTACTCCACCAACCTCCAAGACATAGTGCCTGGTTTCATCGCTTTCCTGGGAGAAAGCACTGAGTAGCTGCACCACCTTATCACGTAATTGGCCTCCTTGTTGCATTCCGAACTGTGTCAATGTGAGTAACCCTTCTGCTTCAAAGGCAGCGCAATTACTTTGATCGTCAATCGCATGAGTTATCAAAAGTTCTGCAGCGCCTTTCTTAGCATCTGCACCTAGATCGTGTCGAACAATGTCGAGAAGAAGTTCAATTCTCTTCCTCTCAGTATCAGCGTCCGAGCTTTTGAGAGCGAAAGAACTTTGAGGATTCGACAGAATGCCTACAGCTGCCTCTCGACACACAGATGCGTAAGTTGGATGAAGCAGATCAACTAGTCGCTCAAATGGCATTTCTTCGAACGGCACCACCCAGTCGTTAGGTTTGATGAGGCGATACAGAGCAACCACCGCTTGGCATCTGCATTCCAGACGATCATCTGCTAAGAGTTTCGATAGTAACGTTACTGCTCCTCTTGTTCGAAGTTCTCTTTGGCAAGGATGAAAGTCAGCTAGAAGTCTGACCAATCTCGCGACTTCTTCCCGTACCACAACAACTGGAGAGTAGACCAGAATTTCCAAGGCCGCGACTCCACCAACACTGAAGAAAGATAATCTCAGTGGTTCGTTCTCCTTGCAAAGATATCCCAACATTGATATTAAATTGAGCTTCGTGTCCGCCGGAGTGTTCTGTTTGAGAATATTCACGAGGCCCGTCATTTCAAGCTGAAAATCAATCTGGAAGAACGACGGCAAGAACGTGTCTTTGGTGCTCAATATACACCTCCACAATAGTTTGATAGCTTGTACTACAAAGCTTTCTCCAACATCATATTCAGTGACTCTGGGTAGCAGACGAGGAACCAACTGAGACTCAAGGAGAGCACTAGGTATGCCCTCAGCCAGAGACAGCACATTGAGAATCTTCAGTACTTCAGTTTTCGCTACATTAGTTAGCATGCCTGACTGAGCAGGATGATGACTTCCCACAAGCGAAGATTGCTTAGGAGAACGAGTAACACACTGAACGAAGAAGAGTAATGAGTTCCTTCCAACCCACTTACTGCAATCAACCGGATTCGTCGTCTCCATCAGTGAGCTTAATGCTGTGAATGCTTCCTCTACAACTTGGGGGTTTCCCACCAGCCCAGTCAGGCGGATCAGGGAATTTATAAGAGCCCTGTCCCCGATTGAACCACTACCCTTCTCACCGCACAGAAGTGAAAACCCTTTTATACAAATAGGTGTTCCACTGTTAAAAACTCCAGAGCCAATATTCGTGAGTCCAAAAAAGGCTGTTACGACTCCCTTCCGTCGACTAATTTCTTGCCGAATCTCATCATCAGAAAGAAGGTTGACCACAGTCTCAGCAGCCTTCCCGCGTGCAAGTTGGCTTCCATTATCCATGATAAAGATGAGAGAATCGAGGGCACAATCGGCAACGGCGGTCCGTATCTGTTCCCTATCTTCGTAACTAAGCAGTTCATGATCTTCTCCTTTCACCTCAAAAGTCATAGCTTCGAGCAAATCCGCAGCCTTCTCCACGATAAAATGTTCATTTGATTTGAGCAACGCGGAAACAACAGGAACTCCTTGGGCCATGTAAATCTCCAACTGTCCGCTCGAATGCTGGGCAATAGATGTCAATTCCTTCAAGCTTTTTCTGATCTGCGTAGAAGAGTCACGTCCGCTGTTATCAGACGACAAATCACTGAAACCTGAACGTTTTGAGTTCTTTTACAACAACTACTTTTCAAAAAGAGTTCATTTGACATGTGACATAGTAATCGGAATGGGGTTGCGATAGTTGAACTCCGTACTTTCGAAAACAATATTTTTCGTAGCCATATTTAGAAAGTAGTGAAGATCTCATACCTCAACCGATCTTTGTGAATGGAGCGAATATATAAGATTCACCACTTGACTACTGGGTAACGTGGGCGGATTTCGTGGAGGTAAGGGCGGGGGCTGCCTCGGATTGGGTTCTGAATATATGGACCCTGTATCCTTCCACCTGAAAGGCGGGAAAAGCTGTGTCAAATTCTCCGCACATGGAGATAGATATAAATGACACAAAAGAAAAGTAGGTGCAAGGCTATGAAAGAGTTAGGCAATATTAATGAATCACTAATTCAAAACATCGAATTAAAAATAGAAGGCATTCAACACTTCGGAGCTATTATTCGTACATTTGATTTTCAGATCTCTGCTAATATTTTACACGTGGATTGGCTACAGTCCTGAAAATTAGGTTGTAAGTACCCTCCGTACAACGGATATCCTGAGGGAAAATCTTCAAAAGTTCTGCAAAGAATCAACTTTCAAGTTCCATCACCGAGAATGTTCGAAAAGTGTTGCAATAAATTCAGAACCTTTGGATGAGAGTACGCAGTGCGATGTTCTCAAGCACGGACTTGTTTGCAACCGTGGTCCTTGTGAGAGGACACGTGATGTTCCCTGTGGAATCGGTATACCACTTTGTGATACATTCCCTGCAGAAAGTGTGTCCTGATTCACAAACAACCGGATCCTCCATCATTTCGTAGCATATAGGACAACGAAACTCTTCCGGAGCTTCATGAGAACTTTCCCCGGAGCCAGAGTCGGGCACAGCAAATGAAGATTGAGAGGCTTGCCCTGGAACAGGATCTCTATCGATATAAACCATAACTTGCCGTAAGAACTCTTCTTCCATTGTCCGCTTGTTTTCAACTGTATATTCTATCTCCTGTCTGAGAAACAAGGTTTCCTCCTTCATTTCCTGCCACTCCCTACGCACTGTTTCCACGTCCGAATCAAACCTTTTGGCAAGCCATTGGAGTAAGTGATCCATCACTGTGCCACTTCCTGCTGAAGAAGTATGCACTCCAGTATTGTGGGCACGCAGCACCTCCGTGACCTGAACACGGATAATGAGGAAAACTTTTAATACCCACAGTTTCATAAGGATACCCGATCTTCTACTCTCTTTGAAGACGTGTAAAATACGTGAACTTGAATAAACACACTTCAAAAGCTGCTGGATGGTAGTGCGTGTGAACTCGTCTGCACGAATGAGACTTTGTCTCTAGTCACTTTACTCATCTTGACACAAAGCGTGTAAATAACTCGAGTGTTCATAGCCGGAACTAACAAAGCCAAAAAACAATTCACGTCCTGGTTTGCGAAGATTCAAATACCTCAGCTTCGAAGTCATGCTCATCCTTGTTGGGAACAGCATCCCTTTCAAGCATGTTCAACTTGGACTGGAGTTGCTTTATTTGCTCTTCTTTCTCGGTTGAAATTTTGAACTGGATGAGAGAAAGAGCACTGATCTTCTCAAGAAGGGTCTTTGAACAATTTTTAATATTCTCGCCGTGTTGTGCATGAGTAAACATCAGCCTCAGCTTTGGACATTGAATAATATTTTCGAAAGTTCTGATTCATCCAAATACGTCATCATCAGTGCAAATCAATTAACTCTCAGGAGCTTGACAGATAATTGAACACAAAGGTAGGGAGCAAAGATAAACCCTGTAACCTCGGGTTGTATTGCAGAAAATCTGGTGAGTGACGTGATGAGGTCGGTCACCTTCAACACCAGGTAATTCGAGACTCTTCCTGAGTCCTGAATAAGAGTGGAATGTCTCTGAGCCCGGCGGCTCGGACCCATCTATTAGGCACTATAAGTCGATGTTAAAGAACCCGGCGGGTCTCAAACACTGCGTAACAGTGCAGGTGTACTCTCAACGTTTCACCAGATGTTCGGCAATAGAACCGGAGGAAACAATCATCACATTTCAACCCCGTCATCTAGTTCTACCTTATTTCCATACGTTCATTTGCAGTAACGAATTTCAATCTGAAGAGTAAGAAAAGTTACGTCTGAGTCCGGATCAAAGCGAACATAAGTCCATTGAGTGCAGTCTCAGCACTCGGCGGAATCGGCGCCTGAGAGGTTTTTATCCCTTGAAGAAAAGGTATCAGCCCGCTTAAGTGCAAACCCAAAACTTGACATCTATATTGATGTATTGGGACTTCCTGGCAGAGTTTCATCAAGGAATGTACCCTCGCCAGTAAACCCGGGACCACAGATATCCTTACCGCATCCATCACCATCGTGTCCGTACTGCAAAAATGAACAGCCTTAATCAGATCAATCAAGTGCTTCATTCAACAATTGTTCCAAAAGTAGGGTCTGTCGTCCATGGCTACGTGATGACAACAACCGTTAACATAAGAAGTTGGTCTAAACCAATGTCATGCGGTAATATTTACTGAAATATGTACTTGAAATGCTAGAATGAGCTCAGTTTGTTTCTTCCTCTTTTCAAAAAATGGCGGAATCCAATACCTCTGTCTCTTCGTAACCGTCAAGGATACGAGACCTGAATTCCTCTCATCCAAGGTCGATGTAAGCTGATTCGTATACATTCGTGAACCTCCATAAGCCTTCTGCAAGTCCTCCAAAATCTCCGACTTGAACACTTGTATCCGATTGTATAATTTTCAGTCCCTACACTGATGGACAGGAGCACAACAAGAACAGAAATATAAGAGATGAAACTTGTGAGTTGAAGCTCTCTACAATCTATTCTTCGTTTCAATATAAGATGCTCTCTTCTCTCCAAGGGCTAGCATTACTACCTATTCTTCACAAACGTAAAGATATGCAAAGCAGGATGCGTACTTATAGAGAGGTTTACGTCAAATACACAATCAACCCTGGACAGTACCGCTTCGTCAGATCTATTAATATGAAAAGTTCGTTTTTTTTTAAGATATTGCTACATATCATTGCGTCCTTTCATGCGACGTTTTAAAAGACACAGTTGTACCGACTGTCCTCTGTACCCACCTTATTCTGATATATTTAACGTTTGCAAACTGCCTGGTGCTTGGAGATCATCGTGTTTTCACTTGAGGAACCGTAAGCCTAGAAATCATTAGCGACTGCATCATATAAAAGGGAGGACGACATAAGTAAGACTTCTACTAATCAAGTTCAAAGGCATCGAAATCCATACTGTCAGCCTCGTTTCGTTAATAACTGGTACAACTATGAAATCGGACTGCGATTGAAGATAAATAATAAACAACCGCGCAAAACGAGTAAAGTCTATCACTAACTTAGCGCAGTTGAATTTCAGTGAGATGACATGAGAACGGCTCTGTACAATTTTACAGATCCAGTCATTTGCTGATGTGCTGGCAGCATACTGCCTAGCAACAAAATGTACGACTCATTCGCTTCAAATCACACGAAGGATTCACTAGAAGGCATGTTCACGCTACTGCAAAAGCTCAATACAATCTTCTAGAAATTACCGAAGGAGAATGCAACAGCACTTCTGGCCATACCTGTTGTGGGCCGTTGAAGCCTGCCTCCACAGATTACTACTCCTCAGTTTGAATCGGTTGAATTGGCTCAATCGTCTACCAGAGGGGTGTGACATTATAATCTGTATTGACACGTAAATGAGTAACCGATGTGAAAAGGTTCGAGATACCGAGAACGAGAATGGGAGGATGACGGAGCTCGGAAAGGCAGGAACGTAGGAAGACAAATCCTCGAGATGAAGAGGGAATTCACGAGAAATTACAATGCCTCGGAACTGCTTAGTGTACTAGAAGATGCAAGTCATCAGGCATCCGGAAAAAGAAAGAGGTTTGATTGATCGAGACTGCAAGTAGAAACTACTGACAGAATAAAGTGTACACAAGAAGTGCAGATGGGAAACACCACCGGAGACCAATGACGCCATTTCGGACAGAAACTGTCCTGTAGTGAACGTCCACAACCACTCATGACAGCACATCTATCGGCCCCTCGAGCTTGGAATTCATGGGAGCTACTTACTCGGGAATCTCCGCCCAGCTCCAAGCTCTCCGGGTGAAAGGTAAGCAGAAGAGAAGCACGGAATAGAAAGGACAAATCGCGAGAACTCGAGTCTTCTCCGCAATCCAACGAACATCGATCGATGCGAAGGAGAGACACAGAAGAATCGTGAAGAAGAAACGACGTTTGTACGTGGCAAACGCAGAACACCGCGTGTCCGCGCTGAAGCACGTTGCGGGGCGACCAGAGAAGCCCCGCCTCGGCAGCGTAGGAAGCCCATTCTCTGCCGTCGCAGGTCACGTCCTCGCAGCGGGCAGCGAGTTCATGTTATCTCTGGAACGCGGGCAGTTCATCCCGAGACTGGGGCTCTGCCTCAGGACGATTTCCTGCGGGCACTTCTTTGCAGACCCGCGCTTCCTTTTTGACGACTTTGCCGGGAGAATTTCGGGTGGACCGGCACACTGAGTTCTGCCCCGGTCACTCCACCCAACCCCGGACGTCGACTCCGTTGCCTGTTGAGAGGAACTGTGCCCCGCAACGACGTGGACTGTTCCTACTCTACAGCGATGAAACGCGTTTTGCCCCGGGTCGCAAGCTCCCGACTACGAGTTCCGCGCAGTTTCGTGTCGACTACTCGATGGTCTTCAAAGAATTCGTTTCCCATCAATCTGTGGCGCAGCTCGCCATCCACTTGGAGTGCCAAATACGGCAAATTTTGCTCCTTGTACAGTTGGTCGAGATTCTGTAGCTTCAAGTACGCCCCGCACGTGGTCAGCTGACAAGGCTCCAAAACACGTCAGATTCGATGCTCTCTTCGTCTTCGCATCTTATTCTGTAGAAGGATCGCTACGCGGTAATTTAAATGGTAATAGACCAAGCCCGGGGACCCAAAGGGTCAAAAGGCTGAAAAACACAAAGTAAAATTGTGTAATTTGGCACTTGTCCTTTCTTCTCCTCCATTATGGGAGACTATCCAGTCCACGAACGGCGGAGCTTCTAGATTACGTTGGGTATAAGTGTTCTTGGATCCTGAAGAGTACCCTCCAAATTTATACATTTCCTTCCTCAATGCAGAGTTACCCTCTATTTTCACCAAAACTTACATGAAAACATCCCCATATCTTGCAAGGTTTACCAAAGGCAAGACGGGTTTAATGGGTTAAACAACTACAGTAGACATTCGAATAAGTCCGCATCCCAATTAAATCATTTCACAACGCAAAATTCTTGGATCAATTCTCAAGAGTGTATTTTACAAAAAATCTCCTTGACCAAAATAGAAGCTCTGTTTCACTTGGATGCAATGCAAATGCTCCAAATCTCCTTGAGCAAAATAGAAGCTGCTGTCGACGGTTGTCGTCCAGAAAACCACCTGCCTATCGCCGAAGCAAGTGCCTAAAGGCGCTGGCGCCCCTCTACCTCCTCACTGGGAGACTATCTCAAACCCTGCTCGCAGCGGAGCGGAGGCCACGCCAGGAGGAGGAAGAGGGAGGCAAGGAGGAGGGAGAAAGGGAGGATAAACGAGCAGACGCGAACCCTGAACAAGCGGGGTTGATTAGGCTTCTTCAACTTCGGCTTAAGCTTCCTGCGTGGTAGATGGAAACCAAAGGCAGGATGGGAGGAAGAGAGAAACAAACTGACTTACGGAGGTTGAGAGGAGTTAAGTCCCCTGAACAAGCGGGGTTGATTAGGCTTCTTCAACTTCGGCTTAAGCTTCCTGCGTGGTAGATGGAAACCAAAGGCAGGATGGGAGGAAGAGAGAAACAAACTGACTTACGGAGGTTGAGAGGAGTTAAGTCCGCACCAGACCTCCCGGATCAAATTGCGGACTTAAGCGAATGTTTACTGTACTGGAATATCTCATCAGAGTAAACACATAATAAAACAACGGCCCATAGTTTCGTGATGAGAAAATTTATCATGAAATTCAACATATCGTTATTATTTATATTGAATATTCTACAAATAACTTGAACACATAATATACTATCATTTGATATGATTCATTTTTTTAATACCTGTAGTATAGAATTTTCTAGAGGAATCTAAAATTCATTTCATTTTATGATTTTTGTATTCTGATAGTATCTTGTGCACCCTCTGAATATGAACTCTTACAAGTTTATACTCATAAGAATATCAAACTTCACATTCACCGATTCATACTACTCCAAAATCTGCGAGACCAAAGAAATATAGATTTACATACAATTCTATTTCAGCCTTGGCTGCTACCATCACCCTCCCTGCTCATTGCCGTGATCATCCCTCTCTTTGGATGATCACGCACTCCTTTCACATAAAAATATGTATGTATATACTGAATGTACATGCATGCTTAATTTAGTAGATCGTGTGGCGCAATGCCTAAATTATCTAAATGTACTCTCCCTTTGGCGACTAAATTAACGCTAATATAGTATGACTTCTCCTGTTTACATAATCTGATTGGTTCATTCAATTCATCAAAGACAACTTAGTGTGTCTTTGACATTCACATCCCATTAAGATATACAAGGATTACACCAAGATCCCATCTTTACATTGTTCATATTCATCATGTCTCAACCTTCATTCATTAACTTTGGTATTTTGAAAAAATATTTCAAGTCTATTTCTAGTGTTTGAAGAGTACAGACTCTCACTTCTTGGAAAATTTGCTAAATTTTGAGTAGATAGTTATCTGGTTTAAAATAATTTGACGTTGGCTTGACTAGTGATAGATGATTTTTGCCTTTTTACGGAGCATATAATTGCACCACTTGCTTAAAATGAAAGCGATTGGCTGTTCAAACTCAATGCAGGGCACAACAAGTGATGTAATTCAGATTGAACAAAGAAAATCAGAATTCTAGTTGCAAAGTAAATTATAAACTACGTGCAAAGAGGATTTCGCGTTTTTGAAAAACGCAAACCTATTGTGAACTCAAATGAAAGAGATGTTTGATGTGAAGAGGTGACTCAAATGAGTGTACAAGCTAACAGTTCTGCAAGTGAATCTTAAATACTAAAGACTAATTTGTAGCAAAGATGATGCGATGTGGACACACAATGTCATGGAATGCTTGGAAGCACATTTATCTCAGATGTAACTACTCTACGTGGTGAAAATTTGCATGTTTTTGCCGCGTCATGAAGTTATCACTAGAAGTGAGAAGTTTCATTGCTCTCTTACGAATCACTTTTATAAAAGCTACTAGCCGCACTTCTAGCAATCAAGATGGCTTTGAAGGTAACTTTCCTCAGTATATCGCTGAATGTAATTTATGATATTGTTTGTGAATATAGATGCAATTTTTTCTGCTCTAAACAAGTTTGTTTGTCATACGAAAGAGTAAATTATGTTGGCACACTTATCTTAGATCTACATCCGGAGTTGCCTTGACATGCGAGACATTTCGAATAGTTTTATTGTGAAAAACTAACCTTCGTCTAAATTAAATTTCATGATGAGACTAAATTCAATTAATTTACTCTACTGATTCATATAAACATGCATGTATATGTATGATCTGAACTTTGGTACTTTAAACCCTTGTCAATTGTAGCACGTACTAATTTTAGTTCACACAACATCAAAAAGTTGCATTTTCATTAGCATAAAAAATGATTATACTCTGTTTTTCAAATGACCATAATATTGTGAGAATTTTTGCAAATATGAATTAAAGACACAGTCACATATGAGTATGAAAGATGTGGTTGAATGAACCAAGATTTTATCATTGTCAAAGAGTAAAAGTGATCATTCAGTGATCTTTGATTTAATGAAGATCAGACATTCTTGATGGAGAAAAATGCATATGAATTGTTGTCTTATTGAGAATGATCATATCTGCTAAAAGCAATGTAGATCAAGCTATAACTATTGATCAATCACATAGATTGATGATATCTAGTTAAACTATTTGTTGGAACAAAAAATATGATAGCTTGAGTTAATTCTTCAAAGCTAAAGTGTTTTGACTACAATGTTAGACATTTTATTAAAGAGAGTATTTTGTATCCACAACTCTTGCATTGATAGCAAAGATAGTTTTATTTGCAATGACAAAATGGAGAAAGATATTTGATGAAATCATTATATAGCACAAAATATTTGTTGATATCCAACGCAATTGATTTTATTTCATGGTATTTCTTTGATGTATCTTCAGTCCAACATCATACATCTTCACATATGAATTCTTGTAAACTGTGTGATTTCAAAAATACTGTTGATCGTGTTAACATAGTGATAGTTCTAGTCGGGACTGTCAGCAAAATGTCATTACATCGAAGAGTTCTGGAACTTTGATATGTAGTGAGTTTAAAATTCTAGTTTATCGCAATAGATTACTATTAATTTTTTGCAATGCTGCAGAAAATTCACTGCGTGAACGTTCAAATATAACCTTTGGAATTTGTAATTGTCTTGTTTATCCAACACAAGCAACAATAATCAATTGTACTTTTCTTGACTCATTGTATAATGATCTATTGTTAAGTGCGAAAATTGACTTGAAAATATGGATGTTAGATCCTAAGTAAAGCAACTATTAAATATCGTATGAGAACATGGATGATTTGTTCCAAAACAAGCAATGTCAACCGATTAAACTTTTCTTGATCCATCAAATTATGATCTATTGTTGAATGCGAGAATCTACTTGAAAACATGGATATTGTATTCTAAACAAAACAAGTATTAAAACTTGTATGAGAACATGTGTGACGGTGGGATACGTTGGAGTATTTCATGAGATAAAATGAATTATTTTGGATCCCAACTAGAGTTTTGCGTTTTGCAAGGAAACTAAAAGTTTGGTTTATTTTATTGATAATAAACCTATTCATCTACGAGAATTAAGTACAAATGTATGTCTTGCTAAATTTTAGATAATACATCCATATATTCTTAGTTAGATAATGTATTGAAAAAAGTCCATTATGAAGTTACGACTTCTAACAAGATAAAAGTAATAATCAAATTGAAAACCTATGTAAACGATAAATTGTTAAAATTATTGGAAAACAAAGAATGCATCAATTCAAGCTCTTGTTTTGATATCTTTTAGAAATTTTTCTTAGCTCAAACATAACTTCTAACTTTATTTCATTTTTATCTACAAACAGTATAACATCTAGATTATGTGAGATATTTACTTGATGGTACCCCATCAAAATTTAAATTGTTCTATGGGATACATCAAGTTTCAATTTACACTATGGTACCCCACAAAACGGTCCACGTCACCGTCAAATCGGCTCCTTAAGAACTCACCGTTGTTTCAAGTATGAATTTGTCCGCAACAAATCATGTGCATAGAAATCTTCATTGTGACAGTCAAGTGCTGTAGATATACTGGAGCATAAATTTGATGGTTTGACGAAAGAACTCACGATTACCTGATGTGGAAGTTGTATTGCCAATGGCATTGCAATGTCTCTCAGATCACTGGTTCCATATTCGAAAGAGATTTCTCCGATTCAGTGTGCTTGTGTAGATTGTTTTTGGGACGCGAATGCAACTTCGGAAAATCTTGCAAGCTAGAGTGTATCCAACTTTGTTAAAACTCCAGTGGCAGGCCGTCGAAGCCGTCACAGAAACACGAATTAGAACATGTTCATACAAGAACCTGTATTAGAACTCATTTGTAAAAGAACATACCCGTAAAAGAACATTTATCAGAACTGAACGATGGTGTATCGTCGGTACACCGTGGGTAAATCGAGTAAATTGATTTTGATGGTTCCCATCAAGATGATGTGAAACATAAGATATAGCTATTACATTTTGGAAAAAACAACAAATCGCTCTCATGAGAAAAGTGTTGTTTTTTCTTTCGCTAGCTATTTTATACCTAGGCTAAATTTATCTTGCAGTAACCATTCGAAAATTGATATATGAATGATAGTGTACTCGCTTTCAATGTACATCCGCCAATTTTTTTCCATAGAATTGATTATTAAAATGTATGTAAATATACCAGTGAAGGGTAAACTTCACGTTTACAAAGCGTGAAGGCAACGTTTGCAAAATATGGGACACGTCCTTAATATATAATTCATTGCTGATAAAGATTCAAAAGTTGAATTACTCGGTCGGAATCAACCAATATTCGTCAGCGCATTCAAAGTTGAAAGCTGTAATCTGTTCTTTTCATTAGTCTCATACCCGTTACACGTCAAATCGCTAATCTTGCTGGATGCACGGTATTGTTGACCAGGGTGTTGAAATGTATACATCTCTTACACGCAAAGTTTTGTCAAACTCGCTGTAACCACGGTGTAGAATTCTACGACCTGCATCGTTTGAGAATTAATTCGCATATTACACGTTTACCACCGCAGTTCTACGGCCTGCACTTACACTGACAACTTATGGTCTTCCTTGAAGTGAAGGAACAAACAGACTGATTTCCAGCCGCTTTATTAATGCTTGCCACTTCGATTTGAGGGGAGTAATGAGGTTATTAACGCTTGTTTCCCGTTGTCCTCCACGAGGTGACCAACGCTTGCCCCAAGCCTCGAACAAGGAGTCTTCGAGGCTCAGTTTCTCTCAACTGCTGTGCATCAACATGACTTCGAGAAATTCAATGAAGTTGCTGTCTACACACGAGGAAGGTCTTGAAAGAACGCGACTACAATACACACTTCATGATCGGCAATACAACGTGAAATTTTTAACCCTAAATTTCTCTAACCCTAAGAATGGGTTGGTGCGAATATACACATCACAGAAGAAAGTCTTGAGACATGCCAGTAATAGGCATACTGAAAGAAGTGAACTGGTTGAGTATGCTCCAAGATTGCCAACACGGACGTTATGACGGTAATCGTGGCCCAATAACTTTGGGAGATTTAGATGACACTCTACTAATAGATGGAGAAGAGCTATCCTTGTTGAGAGCCTCAGCTTCTGCCAGTGCTCGTGTTGCTTCTGCTCTCCACTCGGCTTGACGCTGTGCTTCAGCTGTTGGCAATCCTAGCTACCACATACACTGATCCTTCAACAAAACTTCCAAAAAGCAGCTCTACATTTCAACGGTACATGGAAATTTGGGCTGGTTTGTCTATTCGTTACCCTCAATGGGTCCAACTCAAATTTGGCAGTGCTAAACAGAGCTATGTTAAGGCACTTTTCAGGTCAAATTTGTTCTAATAACACCATGCGTTAGTTCGACAACAGTCAGGTAAAGAAAATGCAAATAAAAAATTGAGTAATCTATTCCACGTATACAATGAAGGAAAGGAATCCGTTTCACTTCATTAGTATTCAGCTGAAGCAAAGGTTACGGAGATGGGCCACAACTGGCCATCTTACTAATGACGAGGGTATAACAGCGATTTTATTTACAGTATTGCTCCACCTAATATACACTGGAATGCTGGTCGATAAAGGAAGCTTGTTACACTTTGTTAGAATATTAAACGAACTGAAAGGAGTAAGGTGAAGAAAGTCACCGCAACACGGAAGGCATCCATTCTAGCATTTTCACGTTCTTCGATACTGGCAAGCTTCCTCCCTGCTGCGATTGTTCTCTCAAGCCTCTGTAACAAGCGAGAGTTAATTCAGTTATAGCTGGCACTTTAGATTATTTAGTTACGTTCTCTTTCCAAATATATGACTGTTTTATTGAGTTGTTCTTCCTTGCCAATGTCGTAAAATGTCTAGCTCGGAACTTAAAAAAAGATCAGTTAAGGGGAAAGCTTCTTGAGGAAAATCCCTTGTTGTTCGTTTTGGTTTAGTAAACTTCATAATCCACGTTGAAAGGACTTTTGAACATTAAGCCAATTATCGCCAAGGAACATCTAATTTGATATCGTCTCCATAGATAGAAGACTGTCCGAGTAGAGTACATACCGATTTTTCTGCCCGAAGCTTCTTCTTTTCTCTATCAAGTCGTCAAGACCAGCGCATAAAAGAATGTCAGTGGTTATGAAGCAGATTTGACTTAAAGGGTTAGGCATAAAGCCAGAAGTTGTGCTTCACAGAAGCCTTCAGACGAATTTTGACATTCAATTCAGCTACGTTGTGTTAAATCAGCAGGGAATATCAAAGCAACTTCCTGAAATCTCTGCAATAAATTTCAGTTAACACGTAGCTTCTAGCTAGAAAGCTGACGGAATACCTCCAGTCTACAGCACCATACAATCTCTGCATCTCCATTTGCTCATGCTTTTTCTTTTGAAGCTCCCCGCTCGCCAACCTAGCCTGTCAGTGGTGACGGTCAAGACAGTAAGCTTGTGTGCCTGATTCAAAGAAGACAGACGTGTGTGGTACAATGCGAGAACTTAAGCACGTCAGAGCCGTAGGGTCTTATTTCAGAATTGTTACACAGAACCAAGGGCCAGACAGCGTCATTGCTTCGAGTCGATCACCGAGATATACACATGTGTTTTACGGTGTAAAGCACGGAAAGAATAATGCACAAAATGGACGAATTGCTGACGTAAGAAAGATAGATACCTTAGCTATCTCCACATTGCGCCAAACTAGTGCCTTTTGCTGCAGTTGTGCCTCGTTGGCGAGCTGTTGATTGACAACCAGTAATATATGACAAAGGTGAGAAGAAAAGATACCCTGAGACGCCGTTGAGAAGAAAGCAGCCTCCAGCCAATACAGTTTTTTTCCGAAGGACCCAAAGAGCAGCTATACTGGCGGACATCATTGATAATTTCATGAACATGTTACCTGGAATGGTGACTTCGACAGCAACTGCGTTGAGCTTTCCTCCTTCTCTGTTATAGAATCCGGGTCCTGTGATCTCCTCTTTCGCTTCTCTCTATCTCGTTTCTCCTTTTTCCTGTTCCTTCTCTCGTGTTTCTCATCACTTCCTTTAGTCCTCCTCTTCTTATCCTTGTTCTTCTCCTTGTCTTCTCGTTCTTTCCGACGAGAAGACTTTCTCCCTTTCACTCGAGAAGATCTTGACTTGCTGCCACGAGACCATAAATATACCTTAATAAGACAAGTCTTTCTAGCGAATGAAACCATTGTGACTTCTAACTTTAAGCAGGATATATTTCCAACAAGGCCAACATCGAACTTGCTTTTTCTCACTCTACCAACCGCCTGCAGGAAAGCAGACTTAGATGCAGATATGAATGCACAACACTAAATGCTAGAAAATTCACACACCAACAACACAAATTTGGAGTATTTCAGCAACGTGATAGTTAGTGCACAGTAAGGATTTCAATACACCTTCTCTAAAGATACTTTTATTAACACCGACAACTCCTAAAAACGTTGACACATGGCTACAAACTGAGCTAACTCCACTTCTTACAAAGCCCCCACAGCAATAGAAAATGCAACTTAACTGACTAGGCGATAGGACACGAACTCATCATGTCTACTACAATAAAGCACAAACTTCATCCACGAAATATCAGTTTCTATCCTTGACACTGAAATAGGTGATGGAAGACAAAATGTACTCGGCGAAATACAATGGGCTTGGACTGACAGTCCTAGTCCACTGTTTGCCGGCTGCGTATATAATCGATGGACGAGTATTTAAGAGAGCAAACCTGGTTTCTAGCATCCCAAACCCACGCATCGACATGATTATTCCTTACATACATTCTTTAAATATGGCTCGACGTCAGCCCAAGATGAGAACCCAAAATCAATTGCTGGTCCGAAGCAGTTGGATAGATTGTGGATAAGATTGAGAAAAATTTAGACGCCTGCAATTCATGGAACATGAAATGGATCGACATTATGACTAGATTGAGCCGAACACATTCACCCATGCTTCTAGCTGGTCCGTTTCGTCAAAACCTGGTCGCATCCCTACATCATGATAATATACGATAATCTTTTTGGAAACAATTTGAGTGGTACTACTTGACTTTCCTGGACAATTCAGCGTGCACCAAAGGTCAGATACAGGAGTGGCAAGCATGAAGAGAGGAGGCACTGATCCTGCAGGCAGATTACCGATGCTTGTCACCATCGTCCGAAGAAGATCCAGAAGAAATGACATCATCCCTGGTTGTTGAGCGTGAGCGCTTTCTTTTCAACCCATGCTTTTTGGAACTCTCCCGGAAAAAATCGGAACCAGATGACGAAGATGACGACGTGACATCAGTGTCACTATCAGAATCGAGGCTCTGATCACCTGTTCTCATCTCAGCACATTTACACACTAGGTAGCAGATGCTCGTGACCTGATAGTTCCACCACTGTAGAAACTCCACTTTCCCAATCCAACAAATTCGGCTGCTCGTCAAAGTATCCAAACCACGCAAGCAGCATACCGTTTGGACCGACGCCCTCTCACCATACCGACCCAAATCCTGATTCGCGACAATGGGCTCGTTCGTTCATTCCAGCTATAATATCGAATCCCCGTCCCAGTCCCGATCAGCATCAACGAACCTAACTGCAGAAGCAGCAGCAATCGTCCACTTCCTCCTTCTCACGGACAAAGCACAAACTGACTCGTCAAAGCCCCGAGCCGCAAAACGAACCAAAAGCTGTCGTCCCCTTCTTCAACTTCATGCGTTCTCGCGGTGTCCAGATGAACAACACAAGTCGCCCACTGTCGTGCCCGGGCCTGCTTTTCCCGGAAATGGATCATTCATGCATTCTTTCATTCAAGCGTTCGTCACCTGTCCCATGACGACTCACTCACTCACTCACTCACTCACTATTGCTGCTGTGAAATCCACGCTACCATGCTTCTGGGAATGTGTGACCACATACCACAGACGAGGCCTGGAGCTTTCTGTGCGTCCACGATTATAACCAATCAATTAACAAACAAGATCAGCAACAGACTTTCTTTCTTCTCCAAGAACGGCCACCAATGACCTCAACTTGCTCTGCTCTATCTACAATACAGTATGCCTCATGTTGTGTACTGTAATGCTCAAAGAGGCAGGCAGTACAGTATATGAGCTCTGTAACGGCGTCAATGATTTCCTTCTTCTACAAGTTCACTCGGGGCGTAAATCACCAAACGAGGAATCTTCGCGGCGTTCTGCCGTACATATGTGGGAGCAAATACGGTCCTCGGTTCTGCTGTAGTACATTTCACGTCCGTATGGACTTTCGGTTCGCTGACTTCACATGGATCGAGCTCAACGATTCAAATAAGCGAATCGAATTGGGGACAACCCTTCAGGGAGTATAAGGATGTAACAAGTGCATTGGGGCTAATAGCTCTACAACTGTAAATATGTTTTACCTCATCCAATATGTACCAATTATGTAGATCAAATGTTCTAATAAGATTGTAATATCTAAAGTCACCAACTAATGCTTTGAATGTAACAATGGATGCACACAGTACGAAATAATCAACACAAAACGTTAGCGAGGGTGGTATGTATGTCACATAGCATGGAAATGTCTTGAGAACACACTTAAAAGAACATGGAAAACTTTGCGGCCATACCGATATGTTGAATATAACGTCTCATAGACAAAGAGGTGGCTTTTATACTTCCCATAAATTTTGGCACTTTCGCTTTTGCATTTTCACTCACCAACCAATTAGGGGGACTAGTAAATTTCTCCTTTATAACAATGACATGCGTAGGTTGTAAGCACCACGAAAGATGCGGTAAGTAAATCCGCTAGAACCAAGTATAAGTTTGTCATGGTCTGGACTGAGTCAAATACAATACATAGGAACTAACGTATACTCCATGACAACTCTATTATAAATATGTATAGAGTCATATGGATCTGTCACACCTAGCCTATAACCTAGCCACAGTCTAGTTATGAAGATGTACTTAAATTAACGAGAACATGTTCAAATATTTTGATGATGATGATGATGTAGAGAAAGAAGTGATTTCGAGTTAAGAATTCCACAAGCTCGAGCATATATTACTATTAAGAAGAGGAATGTTTATAGTGTCTACGAGAGAAAGTCCAACATGTTGGAAAGAACTTTCTATTAGTGTAGGTTTTTAGTTCAACCTTGAAACCAAAACGAGAAGTACATGACCTAACGTTATGTTTAGATGTTTAGATTACTTATTTCCTCCTCTATTATGGCAGGAAGAAATATGTCTAGTAGCATATGAGATTATTCATAAGAATATACAAAAGAATTTACATCAAATAATATAAGTTCAAAAATTTCACTGATAGATTCCAAGGGTTGAATTTCTTAAACTCAATTTCATATTATGAAACATAGATTGTATGCATAATTCTTCATAAAAAAAGTTAAAACGTATAATTTTTACTACAAGAAGCAAGACATGTTTCATCGATTCAATATATGTAATGTCACTAATATATGTAATGTCATAATTATTTCACTATTGTAGTCTATTTCAGTATTGACAATACACGTGGTTCTTAATCTTGCTAAAAATATATATTAACATCAATCAAAATGACACACAATAGTGTTCAGGTATAGCTTTCATACAAAATTTTTAAAAACCAAATCTAATATATTTCTGTTAAATTAAATTACACAAAAACTCAATGTTAAAAAATCAAATTCTGATGAATAATATTTATTCATGTACTTTAATGAGGAAGATTAATAACTTAAATCACACCATTGAGAATTTGTACATCTACTAATTTAAGTGTTTAACAATATGAAGTGGTTGTAATTTTCATAATCTTTTGGGATTTTCATATTCAGGTTTCCATCTATGAAGTAATAAATTTTGAAGTTTGATAAGACATTTTCCTGTCTAGATTCTCTAAAATTTTATTTATTTTTTGAACTGGAATTTAATTGAAATTATTCAACTAAATTAAATAAATTTTTTTAGAAATTTTTTTAGAAATTTTTAATGATTTAAAAATTGGTAGTATGACCATATTTCACATGTTTTGACTGTATAGATGACTACATATTCAAATCTACTCAATGGATAAAACATGCAAAAATCATCTGATAGGGTATACACATATATATGGTTGGTTTTAACTTTTGGTACTGTTGCATCATAAAGTCTACACTTTAATTTGTGATATACATTGAAATAGACAATAGGAGTATGATAAAATTTGGATGCTTGATAAGTGAAAACATGAGTTGAGACATTGCAAGTGCTGAAGAAGAACTACTAGAAAACCGTGCACAGCAGCTCGACAAGAAATGTTACGAACTCTGCAAAGTCCGTTGGACTTAGTAGCTGGACGAGAAGTCAAATCTTTTGTGCAACACAGTTGAAAATGCAGTTCAGCCTCCTGCATACACTCAGATTTTGAAGAGAAGGATATCCAGGTGTTCTCTCTTAAAATCTGCATTTTTCTTCGGTATGGTCTTCTTAAGTATCATGCATCAAAATTTCAAACCGATTAGGTCAAGAATTTAAGGATCTAGAAATATGAAAGAACACTCAGTTTCTGGAATGCTAACAAATCCCCAAAGTTTTGCTTGAAATCCTGATGTAGTTAATCAGGAAGGTGATACAAGTACAAGTCCAACGTCCACATAAAGTTGTTGCTACATTAGCATCACTGCTAACTTAGATTTCGAGATCCTAGTTGTTGGAATCCGGTCGGAGAACACACAACGATAAACAATAATTTCGATTAGTCCAACTCAGATACTAGTGAAGTTAGTCGGGACAGCTTACAAAAGCCCCACCTCAGATTTTCGAGGTTTAGGTTCTACCATACAGTCTGTTCTTATCTCCTGTACACTCAAGCTTCTTATTTTCCAACTCTATCTGGGGCAGAATCTCCTGTTAGTATCATAATAGTATACGACAATCTTCAGTTCCCACTTCACATCTCGTCTACCTGCATGACTTAAGTCGTTGAGATGTTCAACAGATGAGCGCATGTATGTTCCCATCAGAATGTTGTCACACTCCTCAAACTATTCCAACCCTGATCCTAAATTCGTCACACAACGAGCTCCCACCAGTGCAATCCATCTGGCACACTGAGCGATGCAGCGAGAGGGTGTACATGCAGGTCCGGGTGGGTACTCAGACCAACGGACGACCTGTACAAGAACAAGACCAACGGCCTGCGTTGCCATCACAGGAGAAGACGATGCCGAAGCTCGACTGCCAGTTAAGAGATAAAGGGGTTTGGTTGACAAGAACATGAACTATCGAATCATAAGATGATGTTTGACTCCTGAAATTAAAGTATAGACTTATCAATGGGTCAATTGATACAGAAAAGTAGTGCAGTGCCCAGCGAATTGGGACACGACCACGGACTTAGTGTCCAGCAATTGCTGGAAGACTCCTTTCATCGCCACTACAAAATGGTGGAAAGAGGAAGGGGCTTCAGATGTATTCGTCGGTTGCCAGTTTTGCAGGGAATATGTTTGCCTTTTGTTAAGTACTTTCACTATCCTACTAATTTACAGAACCAAATCGTGAACAGGGCTTCTCAGAGTTCGGAAAGCCCATTTCCCACGGAAGTATGGGACATGTAGCACACCATTTCATCAACTAGTTCCTTAAAAATCATCCTTTCTATCTCCAAACCTACTTCTTCAACTTCTTCACTAAAGCTTGTCCAGGCATTCAATGGAAGTGTAAGGTCCTTCTGCAGAATGATATAGAGACTGTCACAGATGTCATCACAAGGTTCCCGAGGCGGGAGGGCTTGCAACTCATCCCAGACCTCCTGAACGAGTCTTTGACCACTGGGTCTTTTCCTCAGAGGTGGTAAGACCAAACCTTGTATCCAAGGCTTCACATTTACATAAGGGACCAGCATTGTTGTCAGAATATCGTTCACCGTATCGAAGAGCATCCGCCGGTCCATGGCTTGCCTTGCTTTCTCACCCTCACACTTGACTGAATCTCGGACACCATCGATCTTCTTCTCCCATCCAAAATCAGCAATTCCTTTCTTTTCCTCTAGATAGTCGTATACAGTGCTATCAATGGGATTCCCAGTTGGATTCACTGCCTTGATTCCCATTGTAGCACCAGAGACTAGTAGAACATCTCGCACATAGATCCTCTCCTCATTCTCTTGTAATGCTATGACTTTATCTTCGCCTTGCGGAGGAACAATCTTGGAAGAGTCTCTGAGAAGGAGAAGCTGGTGTACATTGTTTTCTACAGCGGAGACAGCTTCAAAAGCTCCCTTGACCGAGTCTTGCAGAGCTGTATCGGCTTCCTGTACAATCTGTGTGGTGATGCTCTGCGCATTATTATAAAGACCTGCACAGCCGAGGAAAGATATACTCAGGTTATTCATAGTAAGTAGATACAAGCTCCACAACTATAAGATTGGCACATTAAATTTCAATTGCGTTTGTTCCAACAAACAACGTCCTCACCTTCATCTGGATCCAAGCTCTTGCTGAGTTGAAGAGGTGAAAAGTCCTCTTGAAAAGCAGCACTGTCAAGGACTGAAATGGGGCTAGGTTGGGCTTGGTCTGCCACCATGTCGATGATCTCAGCCACCAAGTTATCATCCTCCTGGTTTGATAACACCTTCTTCACTAATATACTTCCTCGGGGTGTCCTCAAGCCTTGATTGTCCCTCTGTTCTAGATCTCCAACCTGAAGAGAGCAGACAGGTCAATTGTGTCAATTTGTGACCTTGAATCAGACTAGCTCAAAGTGGACGGTGGCTGGTTAATTGAAGTTAAGGCCGCGAGTAAATTAGATTGTTCAGGTGTAATTTGACAGGAAGTTCAGTGCTGAGAACAAGAATTGCTGTCTCAATCAGCATGTTCAAGTTTTAAAAAATCACCTCAGCATTTTGAAGCCTGTTGGTAAGTCCTACCAACGGCGTTCGGACACTGCTTTGTTCTGTTGCATCGCCATCTGTGACTCGTACCTGCATACGAGGTTCCGCGGAACAAATCTGCTCCTCTTTTTTCTTGGCAAACTCTGCTGCCATATTCCTAGATAAACTTCTAGGTGTTGTGCTGCCTTGAGTAGCAGACGTGGCAGACGAACTTTTGTCCTTCGTTCTCTCTCCAGAAACGCTCGGTTTAGCCCCACTCAAAACAAGCTTTTTCTTTGTAGGAGTACCAGGAGCCTCGTTATCAGACGACGAAACTCTGCTTTTCCCTGATGAAGACCTAGTGCGCAAAACGGTGACTTCAGGTGGACTTCCGGCCAGCCTCTCTTTATCTACTGGGAACTGAATTTTTCCGTCCGAATTGCTCCTTCGCAGAACCTTCGTTGGCTCCGTTTCTAGCGCAGACTTTCGCAAGCCCAACAAGTCGCGACTAGACTGTGACCTCAAAGAACTTGAGAGCAGTTTCGAGGGTTCCTCCTTCTCTTTCGTGACAGTGGATCTCGACCTTCTGCTATTCTCACCATTTCTGCTCTCACCATTTTTGCTCCCTGAACTGGAGACCATTTTATTTGAGGGCTTCTCTGGTGCTTCTTTAGATCCGGACAATCGGAGCTTTCCGGTAGGTTGCGGCAGAGATATGAGCTTCGGTGATCTGGGTGTTGAGGGTTCAGACTGAATTTCCCGTGCACCTCTGGCGATAATCCTGTCACGTCGTTTAAACGACGCACTCTCCTCAGAGTTAAAGCGATTCGTGGGTTCGCGTCCGAAACCATACCCAGGTTGAGTCCTTGCAGGTCGATTGACAGGACTCCCCCATGGACTGCTCTTTCCGGAACTTTCTCTTCCTCCTTGAGGAGATCTTGCACCAGGCATGCTCTCCACTAGCATGGCGGGATTCTGGGCCCGGCTTTTCTTGACGGGCTTGCCAATTGGTTTCATGACCACAATTGAGGCCTCTAGTAGAGACTGATCAACATCATTTCCTGCTTTCGACACAGGTTGGAGTTGTGGTCTCGAAACTTTGGTACCCTCTGAGCCATTGGAACCAAAGACTTGATCCTGCAATTTCGATCCCAGCTTTCGCAGTTCCTGAAGATTCCTGACCTTCGTCGATTCCGAGCTGTAATCCTGAGATTTAGGCAACATAATATGCCTTGGAGTAGTCTGCTGTCGTGGGTCAACTTGCTGCCTGGATTCCTTCACCTCTTCCGAAGCTTCTTTGCTGCGTGATGGAGCATTTAGTAGCCCCTTCATTTGCATTGCCTCCAAGATTTGCCTGAGAGTCTTGTGCTCCTGCAAGTTGTACAACAACGTGAGTTTGGAGGTCTCCGGGGCTCTTGCAACAAGCATCGTCCTACGCATGGCCTTCAGGCTTAAACTAAAGCTTGCGAGGCGGTCGTAAAGATCATCATGAGATTAAATCTGTAAGACCCATATACGGCATCGGACATCCTCAGAGAAAAAACGGAGCCTTCCTGATCATAGAACAATAACCGAACGAAACGAAAAAGATAGACTAGCACTCAGAAAATTGCCGTCAGAAAAATTAACCCCCAACGACAGGCCAACGGGTCACTTGCAGGCAAGCCAAATCACGTACCTGAAGAGAGCTTCGTAACCTTAGTTGACGCAGGCGATTCTCCATGTCCGCATAACTCATTGGCATTCGTTTGCTATCATCAGAATGCTTCAGAACGGTCAATACAGCTTCCGTCAATTGCTTCGGTATAGTCTGAACCACTTTATGCCGAAGAGCACCAATTTCTCTCGTCTCTTGTTGTTTGAAGGCAGAAGGCATAGCTTCTACACCTAGTTGCCTGGGGGATAACTTAAGGTGTCCAAGTGGTTCTTGATTGGCCTTCCAGACAGTCTGAGATCCAGCTGATGGATGTGACGCTGCATTTTCAGACGGACTCTTCGAAGGCCTGGATTTATAGAAATCTACATTATGCAGATCTACTGGTCTGCGCTCGGTGGTTGGCTTGATTTCCGTAAGGGGGGTGTACTGCAACAGACCCTTCAATATTTTGGACTCTTTTGAGGGCTTCTTCGGTGGCGTCGTAGAGAGCAGAGTAGAATGCTGGTCGTCCGGCAGATCTTCCAACCCCATAAGCCTGGCAACCAAGCTCGGTACCCGCCTGCGCTGCTCCGCAGCCAACTGATCTCTCCCATCGATCTCTGAACGCAGGGATTGAAGTTGAGAAGAATTCACTACAGCTGCTTCCTTCGCGTGACCGCTGCTGACGAGTTCACGCGACAGGCGGGGAGATCCGCGCCCGTCGACAGAAAGCCGAGGAGAGTCTCTGGCTCTCTGTGCAGCGGCCCGAAGAGTATCCTTGGAAGAGTCCACTGACAGCCGAAGGACATCTCTCCCGTCGCAAGAGTAGCGGGGCGCATCTCTAGAGAGACGGGGCGACTCCCGCAGTTCGACCAGAAGTCTACTCTCCGACGAACTTCGAGGTGTATCTCGGGACCTGGGAACCGAACCGCCCAGCACCTCACTCGACTCGCTAGATGAGCGAAGGTGTTCTCCTCGGCCTTCCACGGCTGCACGCACAGCTTCCTTCAACCTCACAGATAACCGCGGCGAAGATAAGGATCTCGGAGTCTCCGCACGTCCTTCTCCTCCACGTCCATCCATTGACAACCGAGGAGGGTCTTTGAGCTTGAGACTGCCAAAACGAGGTGACTCCCGCTCCCTTGGCTCGACAGACGATCGCTGACTGCTTTCTCTGTCCACTGAAGTCCGAGCCCTCTCTCGCAAAAAAGAAGCTCGCACTATGTCTTTGATGTCGAGAGAGGACCGTGACATGTCTCTACCATCCAAAGACGACCTGAGTGCGTTTGCAGCAGACGACCTCGGTGTGGTTGCTGAATCATAAGGAGCTCGTTGATGCTCTTTCAAGTAGTGAGGAGTACGAGGACTCTCCGTCTTTACGTCATATCCCTGAGAACGATGCCGGTCTACCCTTGGATAGTCCATGGCTGATCCGCAGGCAGTTTGCCACAGAGACTGCTGTGAGAGACTGCTGTAATCGACTTGATCCTGGAGCCCACTTGTGGATCCTTACTGCTTTGGTTCATCCACCGGTGCTGAATTTCTTCATCTGTAAGGTGCACAAACATCGAGGACCAAAGGGTTCAGATGGTTTTCGAGTTCGGAAATCTCTTAGCAAAATGAAACAAATACAACACTTGGCCTCGCAATGCCGGGGCGAAGAACGGAAACCCCGCCATGACTCACTGTGTCAGCTGTTATGGGACTCCACAAGCACTACAGCAGCACGTCCCCACAAACTTGAAATCGCCAAGACAGGAATGTCCTTGCGATCGATATCTACAGGATCGCAACTGGATCCGTTTACGGTGGAGGAAAATAACACGGGCTCCACCGAGAGCGGAACATGCGAGAAAGCAACTAGAGTGCAGACCCAAATGAGTCTCGATAGGGAAACATTAATAAAATATTCCAGTCTGTACACGCGCCACCGCGTCTCAAACCTGCTGTTTAATTGACCAGCCACGACTAGGATCAAAAAACTTGTGCATTGCTGTTCGATGTGCGCTGCGCACTAGGCGCTTTTATAAACGAGAAGAACCCATCCCAGAATGCTTCACTCACACATCTCCCCTCGTCCATCACAGAAGTAGGCCACATAGGGAAGAGAGCTTACATTACAGATTTCTGCTAACAAGTGAGCCCGCTTCTTGTGATAGCCCTATGGCACTCTGACATCCGGAGAGTGCGCATTATGGCCGCGAGACGACGGAAACAAAACTTATCCTGCATGGTTTGAAAGTAATAGTGGTTAGAACGCGTGCTGCAGTTTACAGCAGGAAGGAAAAACAATGCAGTTCAGTTCAGCGTGTGTAAGGCAACAAGTAAGACCGAAAGGCAAGATTCCCGGTTTACTCGTCAACAATCCACAGGGTTTAGAGATAGATCTCATAATCACAATCCTAGATCTGGAAAACAATTCGTGAAAAATGCTCCCAGTCTCGAACACTCAGCGTCCCGTCTGGCTCGTCATGCATTACCGCCCGAAATAGCGAAACACAGCGCCAGAAGAATAGACGTGCTAGCAAATGTGCAGATTAGGCTTCTCTAATAAGAACGCACCGGGTGGTGAGGTGAAAATTCGTAGACTCCCAAAGGCCGATGATCTCGTTCATAGCGCTCTACCATCTGTGAACAGCTTGCCAGCCGTCCACCAAAGAGAGTGCTATCTCGTTGCCACTTTCTGGGCTGCGAAATCTCCGACCTGTATCTGTTGCTAGCTCGCTGTGTATGTGTGTGTGTGTGTGCTCCCGTCACTAACTCGCTCGCTCGCTCACTCCCTCCCTTGGTGCTGACATGAGAGTGAGGAGTAATGTTGCCCGTGCCAAGGCACGGCAGAAACGATCCCGGTATCGGAAAGAGGTCAGTCAGAAGACGACCATCCAGGTTGGGCGAGCTCTACTTTTCCAAGAGCAACAACAAAACACGAGAGATGCTCGCTCTCACAGGCTCTCAGCTGCCGAGCTTGCATCGCGAAGAAAGGAAACATTAGCGGACAGAGGAGACCATAATAAGAAAGAGGTCGCCGCGGCAAGCCTTGCTCCATCCTCCAGAGAATGGAACAGATGAATGAGTCAGGCAAGCAAGCCACGCCAGCTTTCGAGCAGCCGAGCAAGCGCTAGAGGAGGAGTGCACTGCGGAGCAACCGGGTCAGAAAGACCACTGTGCAATCAACAACAACCAAACAAAACAATCCCCCGAACGAACCAAAAAGAACATCAACCCCACGATGACGACGACGACGACGGCCACCTCCACCACGGATCTCTAATGCTGCCCCGCCCTCCCCTTTCAAACCGTCCTACCGTCCTTCCTTCCTTCCTTCCTTGGCACGCGTTGCTAATCTTCCTTCCTACCTTTCTCTCTCTCTCTCTCTCTCTCTCTCTCTCCCTCTCTCCCTCCCTCCCTCCCACAAATCCCCGTAATGTTGCGCGAGGCGGCTCCCTGCCTGCTGCTATAGAAGAAGTAGGGGAGGATGATGATGTAGCCGCTCCGCTTCGCTGCTCAAGCGAAGGAACCGGGGCCCATGATGAAGGAAGCTGGTGCGGGGCCGCGGGGGCCCTTACTTCGTCCGTCCCTCTCTCTCTCTCTCTCTCTCTCTCTCTCTCTCTTCTCAGAGTTCAGAGATCTGACGCCGTCGCTGGCTGGCTGGATTAGCTTGGCTGCTCTCAGAACTGGGGGTTGGGTTGGGTTGGGTGACTGGGGTCGAGTTGAGCGGTGCGGTGAAGTGTGGTCAGGGCACGTCGTCGTCAGGTCAGGTGAAGAAGGGTAAATGAAGGAAAATCACCGCCGTGAAGCAAAATCACCCCACGCCCAACACTGCGCTGCTCGGCGCCACGCGGCAGCCCTAGCCTGCTCTTCGAGCCGGCAGCCATGTCTCGCACGTGGCCAGTACGATCGCACGATCCCCAGTTTGGCTGCCCGTCCTCCGCCCGGGCCGCCTCCTCCCCCATCGACACTCGCCTCTCGCATCCCTTGGCTTCGCTCCAGTAGCTGCCCTCCTTGCGCTCTCGAGTCCCTCGTTGGCCCACCGTCTACGTCTAGTCTGCGATGAACCGCGCGAGGTAAACTCCTCACCGAGCGGACCTGGTGACTGGTCTCCCGATTCTCGTACACTCGAAACATATCAAATCGAATTTAACGGACGGGACGGAGGGCCGATGAAATTATTGATCCCCCGGATACCACCACCCACGGAACGGGGGAGCAATGAAATAACGGATTTCCGAATCATGAGCAAAGTACCACATCAATCAGAACGTGTCGAGAGGGAAACAGCGACCCGTAATCCACAAGAATGATTGTTCTTTGAGAAAAGCACGTTTCGGTAGCCTTTGGAGCTCCATAGTCCAACGAGACTGATCATCAATCCGCCTCGCTTTGAGACAAGAGCAGGTACCCGCACTGTGGTCCATCCCGCGAGATGTCGAGAATATTCCGCATCGACGGAGCCTTGTCGCTTTCCGCGCGCACCGGGCCCATCCGACGGTCCGGCTGCTGGCCTCCGAAGGTGCATGTGGCGCTCAAGCGAGACGGTAAAATGCGCATGTTCGGATCTGATCTTTCCCTTCAAGTCTTCATGCACGCTTATCACACGCGACGCTGGCTGCAGTCGTGATTGGTCAAACCGGTGAATAGAGAGAGATGGAAAAGCCGCCATCGTGAGCAGTCAGCAGTGCATCTAGATTCTGATTAACGAACTTTAACTACACTGCAGCTGTGGGGGGTGTTTCGTTGAATACTCGACATGGTTCTTCATCATTCTCGGGAAACATTTACTTTGTTCGTATTCTTGCCAACGTTAGACGAGGAACGAGTACGGGCAGTCCGATCCTTGTCACTGGGCGAACTCCATTAGTCAGTTTTGATGTTCGGGTGTAGTGACGCAAGTTACTCTTGAACTCTCTCCAATTCGAATCTATACTAGACTCAAGCTCCACTGATCCCGTTATGTTCTTATTATGAAGAATGGAAGTTCATGGGTTGGCATTGGTCTCGTCAATCTTTACTTTATTCTTTGTTTTTTTTGAATTCTTCGTTGGTTTTTGCGGTTATCTACTTGCTTTCGAATTGAAATAGCGGACATTCTCAAACATGTTCCCTGAAGCGGCACATCAATTCCCAAAGTGATTGACGATGCACTAGGTCCGCGTTGCCCACAAGCGTTCAAAAAGAATGACCAATATTCCGTATGGATTATGTTCAAAAGCTGCTGAAGAAACCTTAATCCAAAACTCCGACTATATGACTCAAAATATGTGCAAGTTAGGAGATGAACTAAATTTGGTGTTTGGGGAGAGATTTTGGTCTCTGTGCGCAATACTCCCGGACTCTGTTCTACTAGGTTTAGCCGCGAGTTCGTCGATCGCACGGGATTCATCTTCGCATAACTTTCCGGGAGTGGGTTTTTCACTGCGTGCGTGAGAGAGAGGTGGAAGAGCGAATGCGAAGTTACACTGCGAGGAGAAGGGACGAAAGAGCATGCATCTGTCGCGACGGTGACGCCCCGATTCTACAGCGGAAAGTCCACCGTGAAATATGGGTTCGAAATGCGCACTTCGCTGTTCTCTCCGACGGGTGCGTTCCGTTCGTTTGAAAATTCGACGCTGGGCAGGAGGTCACACCTTCAAGCGTTGGTGGAGCGTATCGCCTTCTGTCAGTCCTATGGTTCGTGCAGTGCCATACCTCGCCTGTACATGCGCCGAACTGGAGTGAAGCGGGATGAAGGGAGGGCCTCCTTCCTTCTCGGCGGAAGCTCGCCTAGATTTTCTTGCGACGGGGTGAAGCGGCGTTTGCGTCTCGGCTGCAAAAGTGCCTTGCCTTCGCGGGCGCTCATTTATTACGCCCGTAGGCGGTCATCTAATCATAGAAATTTAGTGATGGAGGAAATGGATAAACCCGTGGGCAGGTAGCGCGGCAGAAACTCCCTAGACTGGGCCTACGGCACCCGTCACAGGTCAGGAGGTAGGGCCTGGACGATTCCCTCCGTCTGTTACTGATCGCAGGCGGGGGGTTGCGGGTGGGGCTCATGCCAATCCGGGGAGTACAGTAGGGTATCCGCGCGGAATCTTGACTTCCGTCGCCTTCTCCTGATCGCGCGCACCAAGTCGTTCTGTAGCATCGCCAAGAAACGGCATGACACACTCGTCGTTCTTTCTGGCGCAAATTTGGCGCTGAAGAGGCGGGGCCCCATCGTCGATTCGAGCCAGAGTCCGGCCTCCGAAGGGAAGGCACGTCACGCCCGCCCTCCTGCCCTTCTGTATCCAGTCGCTGTTCGTTCATGGCTTTTACAGACTCGCGTACATACCTTGCGAATCAAAACGGGACGAGGCCGGACCGGACCGGACCGGACAGAACCAGACCATCAATAAATCCATTCAGTTGGCCCGTGTTTGACTTCGAATTCTTGCCTCATGCCGCAGCCCCGAGGCATCATATGTCGCCAGTGCATCGATTCGCTCATTTGTCTCTGCCTTTGATACTCGCTGCGAGCGAGCGAGCGAGTGAGTGAGTTCGCACAAGTTCTCGAGTTCGGTTGAGAGGGCAGGATCCGATCGCACAAACCTCCCTAGTTCCCAACGCAACCCGCGCGTTCAACCCACCAGCTGGAACATGGAGTATCATGAGTATGATTAAACTTGATCCCGAGAGAGCTCTGTCACACGGCTTGCTTGCATGCTTGAAACTGCACTGTGAAGGTGAGATTCTGGACACGAAGACATTCATACGAGGCCCTCAGACACCCTCTCTTCTGACACTATTCATGCGACTGATCCAACCCCCGACAAGCTGGATTTCGATATAAACCTACAACAATAGATGTCCATATTCTTGGTATATTATGGTACGTTTCCGCTTCTTCTACACTTCGATGCAGTGGAGTTGGCAAACGGATGTTAGCTTTTCCTTGTATCAACCAAATCGAATCGCATAACATTGCCCCTGACTTAAATATCATATCATCATCGGACGCTTCCCATATTTTTCCGAAGAGTACGTAGGTAATTTTGAAAGAGGGTAGAGAACAAGCCGACAAAACGGACCTTCAACTCATGCGCCTGACTCTTGAGCTTGGCTACAAGATTTAGTAGTATGGCCTTTCCAGCCACTTGAGCGTTTTGAGATTGTATCTTGACCAGGGAAACCTATGCCTTTGATAGTCACTACGAGATGTACCTATGTTTTCAAACCCTTCGAGTATGACCTAAGTACCAACTTGAAACAAGAGAGTGAATCCACAATGTGTTCTTCTCATCTGTAATTGCAGTATCATCTGTGCTGTGCTTGGTTCCATGTCGTCTTCAACCCACTCTCTCAAATCCATTGATTGGTGAAGCTGAGAAGACATCATACTGACAGTATAGCTTAAGCTTGTGCACAATCTCATCCAATAGAAGAATCATCATCACATTTTGTGAAGTGACGAGGACTCATGACTGGAAAGTGATCTATCAACAAGGAAGCCTCCAGTCTCGCTGCTTGAGTAATGATGCCCTGGTCCATTCTCACAACCAAACATTTGAAAGGTTTCTTTTTAAAAAAATCGAGGCATGATGGCCTCCGATATAAACGCATGATAGTTTCAAATCGCTTCCATATTTGTTTATATTATTGTCAGACTGATCTTCAACCAGATTGATTCCAACAGCTCGTCTAGACTTGAAACCGCCAAAGGTTTCAGAAGGCATAATCAAAGTGCGCATTGCCTCAACACTTCTCGTTCGGTTGCTTCGCTTTTTCACATAAAGGTATCAGGAACATGCTTTAGGACCTCCAAACATGAGAATCAGGCCCACTTTCGTCTTGGTGTGCATGACGAGTCTTGACAAAGTGTATATTGATTGTCAAAAGCATCACCACTCTGAAATAGTCACCCTGAAGCAAGGTTGTCCTCAACAAGACATCCTCTTGCCTTGCATGGTTGGACTCTTTCCATCATAAACGTAAGTTGGTATCTTCAAGAGACGTAGTAAATGTGTGGCTTAACATTTTCCTCGCTCTCTCGTACCCCTGGTTCTCATCCCATTCTTGTGCATGAAGGAAGTGACTTCACGCTTTCACTTCCATGCTCATGATGTCTTCCTTATCCACCCTCTTCATGAAAAAAAGTAGTATAACACTTTACTTTAAATTTTCTGTTAATGTTTTGTATTTCAAGCGTTAGAGAATATGACATCCGACTGTTAGACAACTGTTTATGAGGACGCTAGGTTTGATGAAAGGATTTCAGAGTTTGCAAAATCAAATTGTCGATTGGTTCCTCCAAAGCAAATCTGCACGTTGTCAACTTATATCACCTCATTTCTAGCTACATAGCTGCTTAAAGTTCTGTCAGTATGAGTGTATGACTTTTAAAGCCCTCGGACAAGAGCATAATTTAGGGTTTATGAAACATTTAGCACTAAACTTGGAAGAAGTCTGTTGAATTGGCCCCAGTAGGATGCGAGATATTCGTTCAACTCCTGTTGTGATATCCGCGAATTCCTAATTGAATAATCAAATTTTCGTAACAAACAAAATTCGTTCTTCCTTGTTATATCAATTTGACTACGGTACATTGTGAATGTTGTTATTAATTACTAACCTAATAGTTGGAAGTTTTGATTTAGATTTTCAATCCGTGTCGCAACCATTGCAAGTCATTCAAGGACAGTCATCTTGTCTGCTAGGCCAACAAGCAACAAGCCAGTTGCTAGGAAGTGTGCACTTTGTCAAATATCTTGAGGATTATAAGCAAATTTTGATTTATCTGGGTATATGGTTAACTGCACTAAAATGTTCATATGAGAGATTTTGAGAAAGCTTATCATACAAGGAAAAATGAGATTTGGGGAAAAATATATATAAGGCCATACATATCACACTCTTTATCTTGATTTAAGCTATATATATATATATATATATATATATATATATGTGTGTGTGTGTGGTTTGTTATAAAGCATAAGCAGATGCAATCTAAAGGTAATGTCAAACATGTTAGTGACATTTCGATTTTCTTCTAGGATGTAGATTGTTAAACTAAGATTTGATTGGATATTAACTTCTCAAATGACGATGTTGAAAAGTAGTGTGACTTTGTTGAACATGTTTATTAAGTTGTGTTTTGAGTGAAATTCAAATGTACGTATCTGATATGCACATTAGCCATATGTTTTTTTATTGTAATATTCATCACTTCATCCATCCAGCAGATACACCAGATATTGAATGAATTGTAATTGTGATTGTCTAATTGTACGGTATATGTAAAAAAGATATTCTTCTCATGCACGAAGATTAAGAATTCATCTAAAAATGTGTTTCAACTTCAAATCTCAAAAGAGTAGTCGTTACAATTTTTTTTTATGTTAAAGGCACGAGTAAATATGAGAAGTGATATTGTTTTGAAGACTACGATAATAGATTAATATATTGATTGAAAGGTATTCCTATTAGATCCATACTGGTTAATTTGATGATAGTGACTTGAAGTTCTAACAAATTTCTAACTCTAATTGCTTGAAACTTCGAGTATCCTTGATGAAAACTATATATCCAAGGTTGAACTTATATGGAATTCTTAATAAAAGAGATACAACTGTTGATATGTAGTGATTGTACGAACGGAAGACATGTGTTAATTCATGCATGTAGCGGTTCATATGCGTGTTTATTTTTGTGTACAAGAGCAAAGCCATACCAAATGTGCGTGTGGAGATCTTGATGTATTCCATGGTCCCTCTAAGAGAAAGAATTGCTCGAGCTGATGAATTTGGCATCAAATGTGAGAAAAATACCAACTTTCTGCAAGAGTTAAATATTGGTGGAAAAATTACATATATTCGAAAGAAACGGGAGAATAAAGTCGACAGACTCGGACCTGGACTGCGCAATCAATGTGAACAGTCGAGTCCGAAGAGTACATTTCAAATGTATGGCTCCTGTCAGAGAGCATGGAGGCCGGGTTGACATGAGCATCGGCACTGAGCTGACCATGCCATGAGAGACATGGCTTCTCACAAGAACAGACATGGGACGGGACGAGGACCGCAGTTACTATGAGAATGTCGAGCCACTCGCCGAAAATTACAAAATCGATCAGCACAGTGTTTTTGCCCAAGATATTTTTAGCCCTTTTTCAAATCGCGGACGCAGACGCCCTCGCTTTTCCGAGACCGGATCAACTTACTCTTGGCATATGATGCAGCCTAAACGAGCAGTCAGAGGGCTGCCCCTCTGGATTAAGTAATCCAAGCACGGGCGAATTCTGGCCAGAGTACATCGCTGTCCTGCGGAGCGACTGGGAGCCATGTGAGTGAGGCACGAAGGCGAGTGTGGATCGCCTGCCTTGTCGTCATGCGCTGTGAATTTTCAAAACGCATTTATTATAAAGAAATGAGCATTTGTCCGAATCATTGCTAAAGATAAAAGTCGAAACAAACAAGCGAGGCCTGGTCGCCTGGTCCGTTCTGTGTGGAGGCCTACGGCAGAGCCCTTTAACGCTGGCACTCCAAGAGTTGCCGGGGCCCGGCCGGGGTTAGTTACCCGAAGCCAAAGGTCGATGTAAACGGACGAGGAGGACAAAAAAACACCCCCTCCCCCCACTCTGATCCCTATCCATGTTCGGTGCCCAGAGCCATGGCACCATGACGGTAGTATGACCTTTGACTTGAGCCTAGGCATGTTTACACTTGCTGCACGTTCGTAGTCTTTAGTTTTGCCCTCAGGCACACTCTGCAGAGAATCATTATCCTAAAAGGAAGAAAGATAACAGGGCCCTGACAGGCCCCCGCCTCGCCCTTCCTACCGTGCTCAGCACATCTCGTAGCCACATGACAACGACTTGCGCCTCGAAGAATTGCAGCGGAAAAGCTCTCCATCCCAGCGGAGCTGCGATGGAACTTGTGCTATGTTCCGTTGATCCGCTCCAACTGCTTCTCGGGTTGGTAACCTCTAGAATATGGAGGTTCCCAAAGAGGGAACCGCATCTTTAAAGAAAGCATTATTTTGGGCTTCTCCGGGCCTGCATCCTGCTTTTGCCCCAACCTGAGTCCTGCCCCAGTTCCCTTACCTCCCGTTCTGCCTCCTCCCGGACAACCATCGGCAAAAAGGCCGATCAACACAGTAACCCTGTTGGGACTATGCGCAACCGTGTCTTAAACCAAAAGCCGTGGTTCTTATCCTTGACCCGCCCGAGCATCACTTGAACGAGGCATTGACCGAAATCTTTGCAACTACACGAGAATCGGGAGCGGATGGCGAGTGGAAATCCAGTGACCTACCGAAATCATACGCTTCAAAACGACAGAATCTTGGTACTTCAGAGCGCAGTACCGGACTGTAGATCACAACTACAACCCTATGAGCCTGCGTTCCTGTTCAAGCGAACTGAACAGGCTGTTCCCCAAAAGTCGAAATCCGCCTGTGCGTTCCTCAACTTGAGGCCATTAACAACAATAAAGCATGTTTCAAGTGTGCAAAGTTTTGTGGTTAGTGGACTCTTCCACTTGGTTCCCTCCTGGACTCTTGGCTTCACTGAGAAAAGCATCAGGTACAAGACGGAAATATGCGTTGGCACGTATTATAATGACACAAGGACTTTTTAAAGACTCAGGACGGAGGCTTTCGGAATAGACAAATGCGTTGCCGACGATTTCTTGAGTTCTTTAATTCCACGCACGCTGTTTGCGGACTCCCAAGTCTACACTTGGCGCTGTACTTCAGTACTCTGAGTGCATGACCCTGTATTTGCCCGGTGGAGGCACTGGAGTGGAATATGCTGTACTGCAGAATTAGTGCAGATGCACATGGCCCCTTACTGCATCATTTACTGCATGTTCTCCGCATCAGACCTAGTTTGATGGGGTGGCAAGTGGGAATTCTTTGCTCACTTTTGCTATGCATTATGCATTAAACCACTTACGCGCAAAAGACGGCCGCTCCTCTATGCCAGGCGTTCTTGGAGCGTTCGAGAGTCATTAAAATGATAAGACAGTAAATCTCGGCTCTCGACAGGAAGTCAGGGGTTTTCACGTGCAGAATCAAGAGGTGGCATCAACCACGCCGGTGACTGGTCCTTTCGTTCGAGAAGGGGAGAATTTGCAACTTTCTCGAGTCACAAGAATCGTGTGAATGGCAAGCGCAAGACACAGAAGACAAGAAAATGATAGCCGTATGCACAGTGAGGCCACCAGGTTTGACGCACCTGATGCAAAGGTCCATGCCTACGAGTCCGACCGCATCCATCAAGAAACCCACAAGAACCCACTGCTGCCGCGCTGAAAAAAGCAATTTGTATCCTTTTGATTATTATTTGTTTAAACCGGCTCCGGCTCCTGCTTTTCAACGAATGTACATGACCTCGTGTCAGAGCAATTCTGACCTCGGCATGAGGACGACACTCCATCATAAGGTCCAACAAACTACACCATGGCTGGCATTATGGCTAGAATTCTTGCCACCATCGGTGGCGGCCAGCATTGCTTCGCGGTAATACGCTGCGCCGTGGGATGCTGACAGTACGGCCCGATGTGATACAGGACTGCGGAGTCAACCGTTGAGCCCAGGTACTGGGAGGACGTCCTGTCATAGGCTGTCTCCTCCTACTCTACCCGAGCGGAGCCATTGATGCCATCGGGATCCGGTAGGCCGCGTGGTCGCGGTCAGCCCGCTCCCGCGGGAAGCTTTTAAATTCCAACTGCAGTCGGCGGCCGCTCGCAGTGACCTAGGATGGATTCATCTACGTGGTGCACACGCCGTCAGACTCCAAACCTGTCATCGGGCGGCAGAACACCGTCAGGCGCCTTCTCTCGAATTGTCCGCTCGTACATGAGACAACTGCTAATGTACTCAATCGATGTACACATCACAAGGAAACCTTACTGATTTCGAAAACTTTGCCTGCCTACGGGGCCTTCTTGCCTTGGCCGGAGACACGCCGACCAGGCCCATAGATTAAATCATGTGGACTGCGCTGCGCGATCGCGCCTTGCCGGGATTCCAAACATCCACGCGATGGTTGATGATATTCGCATACTACTATCTACTTGTAGCCTGGCACACCACGATACGGTTTCCAAGGAGCGCAGGTTCTGATACACTTCTGAAGTTTTCTCGGTAGATAGACATCCAGAAAGCGTGGTCTAGTGAAAACGTGAGGTAAAAGAAACTCAATAGGACGATGAAACGAAGTATGGTATTGTAGGATGACCGTCCTGTGCGCAAACAAGATGCTCCACACAATTTCGTGACAGCATTCTGTCGTACATGATAACTCCGGAGAGCGAAATACATTCGTGTGTAGAGGGTAGCTAGAGCAGCTAGAGGACTGGAATCTAACAATGCCAAATCTGTGATTTTCATCGGCTGGGCTTCTGCAGCAGGGCCTTGCCTCTATGCCTACCAAAATACTGAACACAAAATCTTCGTCTTGAGCCGTGTACCAATTACAGGGCTGTGGTGCCCAGGTCTCCATGCTAGGCGGCATACTGAGCCTCCATATCTAGCAACTCCTTCCTCCATGTATCCAGTTTAGATAGTTTTTCCATCTGTTCTGGTGTCAGCGTTGTCTTCCCCGACGATGAAGCCTGAAGAGATTCTGTGGTGCGGATCTGGACCAACACAGACAATGTCAAGAAGATCACAGGTCTACGAAAGAAAATACACGTACACCATGTGTAACGTTTTAGCAGTGAGCTTCATCACATCCCGTTCTTGACTGCCGATGTATGAACTGCTCAACCATCTCTTTTTCCCACACGATGGAGATCTCCCTACTCGCAGTATTAGTAAAATATCACGAGAAAGTATCAGGTTACAAAATGTATGGTTCCCTTCAAGTTTGATTCACCAAAACACTGACTGTCATATTCCTGAAACCCTCCATCCAAGAGCTCTGGAAGGAAGAGGCTGTTGCTTAATCTTCATTTTAAAGCATAATACATCCTCCAAAAAAATTGATGATTTCTTTGAGAGAAGCTGTAATCTCTCTGTACTGTCAATACAATCACTGAACACAATACACTGACATTACACTGAACGATGCCTATGCTTGGAACATAGTCATGTTCCAATGCAAGTCAAAGAATATCTTCCCAACATCATAAATTATCAGGCAACAGGCAGTACTGAGCAGAAGCTGTACTCATCAAATTATGTGATTACCAAGATCGTGTACGTGAACTCAATATGAACGGTAGGGGCTAATATGAAATTTGAAGAGCATGCTCAGACAATGCAGTGTTATCTGCCCAGAGCAAGCGTATATACTGGTGAAAGCTTCAAAATTTAGCACTATGCATAGAGGCAAGCAGCAAGTGAGCCCCGGAAGCAGACAATTTATTGTTGAAGTAATTCACAAGAGTTGGAAAAAAACACTGTCAATGTTCTCGACAAGGTGACGAGAAAGGGAGTCCAAGTCCAAGTCCAGACTCAGACTCATGATGCAGGATACAAGTCCAGAGTCTGATATTAGCTTAATGAATGAGCTTGCCCCAGCTACCCCAATCCCGTATCAACAACCTTGACGAACCTCTTACACAAGAATACATCTCAGAGTTTCAACTGAAGGTCTTGGTCCTATAACTCGATCCTGTTGAGGGTTGCACTCAATTTCATATGCCTGTCATAGCCTGAAGACCACAGACCAAGCGACCTGTCTGGGCCATGATAGGGAGAAAGGATGTTGAAGAAGACAGGAAGAAGGAGAGCTACGAAATGTTAAGGGTCTTCTTTTGATGGAATTGACTACGAGAATAAGATTAGTGAGTTCAGAAAATTTAAACAATGAGGGCGCAACATTTACGGAATTGAACGCTCTTGACACTCGAGAGGAGAACAACCCATACAGTTGGAATCTTTCAGCTTTAGATGTTCTTGTGAAGCTCACTTGTGACTGACTACTAACATGAATTCTCTTTCTGTTCCAACCCTCGAATGTCCTTACCTTCTTCCGAAGAGCCCTTATTCGTTTGTCCAAATCAATCTTTCCAGCTGTATCCTCAAGAGGCGCATCTGCTGCCGGAGTCGACAAATTCAGGGCATTCAGCTGTTGTACAACATGGGCCATATCCTCTGTTTTGGATTGTGATTGTCCTGTCATCAGCTTGTCTTCACGGACACATCCATCTCCACCGTTGTTTAGAGACGGGTCATTGTTCCCAGAAGAGGTGGTAGCCTGATGAGGAAGGAAAAAGAGTGAGAAATATTTCTCTCCGTAGAATTTTTTCCTTCACAAAAAGTGTGAGGTTGTAACACAATCGCAAAGCTCTACCTTTGGATGGCAACGTCACACTACAATTTTACAAGGGGCAACTTGGAGTAACACTTGTCAAAACCTGCTGCAGAAGCACAAAGCCAAAACCACTTAAAAAATTCTAAGTTTAGGACATGTGCTCCAGCACAAAGCTTTCCATTGTCCAAAGCTTTGAACATGCACATTGTCAGACCTCAAATGCAGTATGGGAACTGCTAAAAGGGTACTGCCTGGGTACGGCACATCATTAGTAACGACCTAGATTTCAGCTATGTCAATCTATATCTGAAGATAATTACCTCCAAGCCCAAAACCCGCGCCCACGCCAGTGTTAGGGAAGGTCTTTCTCTATATCTACAAGTCAATATCCAACTCTCTCCCTACCTTAGCCTGAAGGGGCAAGTATCAAACGGACGGCACCTGCTGCTTTTTCTCTTTCCTCTTCTCATTCTTCTTCGCTGCCTTCGTCTTGGGTTTCGAGGCATCGTCCGGATCATACCCGGGTGGCACAACGGGCTTTCCCTGCTTCATCTGAACAGAATTTTCCAGTGTGATGGAATCAGAAGCTAAAAAATGGCGCTATTTCCCACTATAATCTCGAGGTACGCATGGAAATTCAAAAAGAAGTCACAAAAATCTCAACCAAAAAATACCCCGCAGAAGAACAACCACGAGTTTACCAGATAGTTTACGCCCACAAACTCTAAAGCCGATTGATTAGACAGACAACCATCTCTAGGAACTGAGACTCTAGTGTACAAGCAAGATCCACTCGACATTGTAATTAAAATGTCAGATTGTTCAGATGCAGCCACCTTGTAAGAACAGGAGGGAACGAGAGGTGAAATTTGTGATAAATCAGGTAAAGACATCTGTGTCACATGCTTATGCAAGCTCCGCCTCCTTGCTCTGAGAACCTTGCTAACGAAACTTATCAAATAGTAGCAATTTACAATGGCTGAGCAGGGCAATAATTCGTACCAATGCGGCCTTGGATTGATAAATCGCAACCTCATCCTGTGGAGTGTAACCTGCACGAATACGCACAGGCTTGCGCAGAGTGCCGTCAGGTCGCCTTGTTGCAGCCAAAATCCTCTCCCCTTCTTTTTGAACATCCACAGAGGCAGTCATCCTCCCGCCCGGCCTCCTCGAAGTCGCTACTCCTACGATCAATCTGCCGATCGACCGATCAGTCAGTCAATCACTAACCACTCCACACTTGTTCTGCATGCTACACCGTGTCTCTCTATCTCTCTTTCTCTTACAGAATCGACCACCGCTCTGCCTCTGCCCTCCTCCATCGTCCTTTCCTACTCCCTATCCTTCGTCTTCCGTGCTGTTCTTCGTAAGTCAAGTCAGCGGGAGCGTGGCTGGGTCTATAGGGACGGGTTTAAGTCGTCTTAAAACCCTATTTTCTTCCATAGCCTCAAGTTCTTACATCATCAAATCTACTCGAATCTCGAATCTTTCATCACCACTGCTCTTGACTTTTGTGGATCTCTTCCAACCTGAATATCAATGTCGATGGCCGGTAATGATATGTTTAATACTTAAAGATTAATGCTGATAACGTAAAAAATAAGATTTCTGGTTCAACAATCATTTGACGTCTTTCCCTCCTGTCCAAAACATAATATGACAAATTTATGAACGATTATTTCTTTGGTATCTGCGATTGGACACGAGTACAACCTTTGATCTTATTCAGGATGCATTTGGTAATATCAATGTGGAGCACGAGATCCAAGCAGCAGGCTTCAAGTGGATTTTTTCCTGTTTTGAAAATGAGAATTTCTGATTATCTACTATCCAGCCAATGAATGATCCGTTGTGTGTTTGAATTTGTGCTTTATTGTTTTAGATTTAAAATCACTTCAAATGATTCTGTTTGATTTTCTCCTCATAGATTGATCATTTTCATTTATAAATATATCATTTCTAGGAATAAAAGGTAATTATATGATTGTCTACTCTTCCACAATCTAACTGAATACGATGAGGGATTGCATAACACAATTTTTTATTTACATGCTCTATATTTATAAAATTGTTTCATATTTAATCTCGATGCATCTAAATTTGAAATCAATCTATCTCATCAAAAATTAATAAAAAATATAAATAAAACTAAAAATACTTTTCAAAATAATGAATTTTATTTTGAATTACCATAATTTTTGAAAAAATTATTGAGAAAATAAATATATTTAAAAAATTCTGAACTTTTATTGTATGTTTTTTAAAAAAAAATAAAATTATTTACACATAATCTGAATAATTCATAATCTGATTAGAGATAGAGCAAATTTTAATTGGACATGATGTAATTTTTAGATTGACTAATGTAGTCATTGCAACATTATGACACATGTAAACAATTGTTGTATTTTTTTTTAAGTTGCATGTAATTGAAACTTCTTGTTTTTTTCTAAGTTGTAAAAGCAGAGAAGTTTACAATAACTATTGTACTTCAAAATTTCAAGTTGTGTTATGTTTACACTTATTTTTTTTTTGTATGCTCGCATTTAGAGTTGATATAAAAGTTATAAAATAAACCTATCAAAGTTAATAACAAAAATATTTAAATTAATAATCACAATAGAATTGTTTCAAATTCATACATTCTAAATAGAAATTTTTAACTATATCTTTAAGTTTGTTTGAATACTTGACTATTGTTTGCTGATACAGTATGTTTACTTTCAAAGTAAAATCAACTTCCTGAAATTAATTTTCATAAAACAAAAATTTTAGTTGAAAAATGACGATTAGATTATGTCTTCACACATTTAGAATATGTGTTGTATTTACTAATCTCATTAATTAAATACAACAAAATAAGAAATAGCATACTATGATGAATAATTGAATCATCAAAACATATTTTTGCTTATTTCTTGAATAAAAAAATGAAATAATTAGAACTCAAGTAGCCAGTTATATTCTGCGTAAATTGCATCGAATATATTATTGAAATTGCAGTGTATCTTCTAGTACAATATCATGCAGCTTTTTCAATTAATAAATTTGATAATCTTGTTAGGAAAAACATCAAAGGAGACGTCACATCTATTATCATATATACATAATTCTTGACGTAGCAGGCATGTACTCTATGGACATTTGAAGACCATTCTCGTTACCCTTTGGTTTGCTGTACAAGAAGATATCGGGATTTTTCCCAAAATTGATGTAGAACTGTCCAATTCAACAATTAGCGTGGGGAACGGAAGAGGCTTTTAGAAGATTGGCTCAATTTTCCTGAAATTAGTTTTAGGGTGTACGTACTTACGGACGGTCAGAGGGGACAGCTGAAGATACATTCCTGCAAATCGTGTTCCCAAGCTCTGGGCTTTTCTACAAGATGAGGCTTTTAGAATCCTCCATTACCCTAAATGAGGTTGTAGCCTTGGTCATTTTAGCGGGGAGGATGATTAGGCGTACCTGTTGTGCTTGAATATGTTCCGGCTGTTTGATGAATTCTCGACTGCCGATGCTTAGAGAGCTGGAGTCACAGGGCGGACGAAGGGAGTCGTGAGGAAGAATCAGACCACGAGATTCATCGAGTTGCATTGGAAATATGAGGAGAGTTTCTCTGGATGTGCTGCGATCGGCTTTGTGGGGTAGATCGGTCGATCCATGGGTTTCTCTAATGAAGCCCTTTTCGGCAGAACCAGGGCAGCAGCTTTTGAGCTCCAGATCCTTTGCTGCGGATGCCGAAGGAGGAGAGAAGGGAGGAAAGGATGATGAGAAGCAAACGGAAAGTATGTAGCTCTTCGAAACTTAGATTCCAGGTGTTCAGGTTTTAGCTGTGACGAGTTTTGGTTTACCGTATGCTTTCGGGGCTTGCAGTTTTCGATAGCAAGAAATCTTGGCTACTCTCTTTACCCTTGATCAACGTAAAAATGTGTATTTCTACTTAAGAGCTGGCGATCTGTGCCCTGGAGCAGGTGCCGAAGAAATGACACCATGAATTGCGTCCAAATGTCAATCATGGTAGAGAGGATGAGAGAAAATGCAATCACGTAACGCTTAAGATCAATACTAGGCTTCTTTGAAAGGGTTCACCGAGGCACTTAAAGGGTCCCTGATCCGAAGAGGAGAAACATTAACGAATATGTTTACACGGTTATTCTTATCAAATTATCTTTGGGGTTTTTAGAATTAGCCACTGTCGTTTCGTTCTCACAGATTTTCTTAGTTTTGAATTTCTAACGGATCTTTATGCTTCCAGAAACTGAGCTCGGTCGTTGGTGGCAAGCTTTCAGTGAGCAGAGCCGTAGCCAACAAGGCGCAGGAAGTTTTCAGAAAACAGGCAAGGCTCTAAGCTGCGAAAACACATTAGTGGATGCGTGTGCTATTTGGCTCTGTTGAACGAGATGCAGGGGTGCCTGAGTTTGACAGGCATCACCGTATACCTTATACTGAGCATGATGTGCTGTAGGTTTTTGTAGTGACACGACTTTTACTAACGAATAATACAGCCTGTGCACATTTTCATGACGCTTTTTAAAAATTTTGTTCTTGTCTTCTTGAATGTGTTCTTTTCGTCCATATTTAATCTCATACGTCTCATTCCGCTTCCTATCGGCTTGCATGTCATCGGTTCAGCCAAGGAAGATAAAGGCAGCCAATGGTTTATTCCGAAAAACAATGGTCTAGGTGAAGGCCAAGAGCAAGGCGAATCCACAAGTACGTACTTTCCTGCGAGTTCGTTATGGAGTTTTCTATACAGTGAGATGACTGCTTATGATCGTTATATTGTAATTTACGTGCAAAGTGTGATTCATGGAAACGATGACACATATGTGTAGTCTCATGTTTCAGCTTAGCTGTATCTATTCTGAAAACGTCAGTCAAGGTTTTGACATATTAGCCTTGTTGGTAGATAAAGAAGCCAGCACTAGGTGGTTTCTACCTGCAAAAGAAGGCTCTCCAGCAGAGCAGGACCGTCAGGAAATCACAAGTAAGCGATACATCTAGTCACGCCTAAATTGGTCAAGATTGTTGGGTTGTAGAAGCAATTAGGAGATACTCGTTTATGCGGAAGTGTTTTCTCTGGGAGGAAAGTACTGAGTTCGGAATGATATAATCACATATCACTGTTTTTTTTAAGTCGCGTGAAATTCGCTAGAGGAATCTTTGTTTCTTGATTACAGTCAGTCGCATGTAGAGAATTACATCTAGAGTATGACTTGATCGATAGCGAATAAGAACCATTGTAGTACTATTGGAACTTTGTTCGAGATTTGATCGGAGTATTTTGTGCATGACAACCACACCAGTAAGCCTTGAAAGCTTCGGAAAAGCATGGGGCCCTACTTGGAGAACTACATGGTTCTTTGCGTTCATAATTGAGTGTGAAGGATAATAAAACTCGACTGAAGTTTGTGTTGTCGGGAGTTTGTTCTAAATTTTTATGCAATCGGTTTGAATAGGCAAGCAGGTCGGGGCTCGTTGGCTTGCCTCCACTCGAGAGAAATCTTCTACCGATACAGAACTGTCTGATCTCTCAAGTAAGTCAGAGAAGGATTTTGAACTTATTATGTAGTGAATATTTGAGTCTTAGGATTATTAAATACGAATATGAATTGTAGAATCGTTGTCAAGGCGAGTAAAGAATTTTAAAATTTGTGATGTTTATTCTTTTAATGGTATGCAGGTATCCCATGGTTCGGTTCCAATGGAGAGAGTCCAGCTTCAGAGCGTGAGCGTCTCGAAGTCTCACGTATGTATCATGCTATATCACAAATGTTGCTTTTATCTGAACTTAGTAGGTGTTATCATTGGAAGAAAAGGCGATTATAGTAACTATGTGGCAAACTTGATCGACGCCGCTTCTCAGTTGGTTCCAGGCCTTCTCGTTTTCTCATACCAAAAGTCATTTTGTGTTCTGGATCTATGTGGCAGTTCAGAGGTTGGCATTGATGAGCAAGCTTGGGGACAACAGTCAAGCTCCGTCTTTCATGTTTTTGCCTCCTAAGGACAATTTATTGAGGAAGGTGTGTTTTTAAGAAATGCTTTATTATGTAGTGCCAGTATTAATGGGACTTCAAGGTTTAAGTTTAAGATTAGATATTTCAGTGTGTGATGCTGCAAGTGGAGCAAAGAAACAATTGTAGAGGTTTTCCTCTCACTGTTACCTCGTCAATTTTTGCAGTACTTCCATTGGGATAATCTTTCGTCGCCAGAGAAACATAAGATAGAGCTGGAAAAGGTTCGAAGAAGCTTTCGTATTCATCCAACTGACTGTGGCTCCTCTCAAGTTCAAAGTAAGTTCAGCAATATTTTGTAGCCTGCATTGCAAACGTATTTTGATGCCTTGGATTATCATGCATAGTTGTCACGTTAGATATAAATCGAAGAAAAGAATTCGTGGACGAAGTAAGCTTGACGTGTTTCTTTGTGTTCGTTCTATTGTAGTTTGTAGACAGCTACTTTTGGTGCATGTTATTTCTATGCCCAGATTCATTTTAATAACTTTATGTCAATGATTTTAAGAGATTTCGCTGGTTAGAGCAGTAACGCACACACTCGAAAAGAAATATAGAGATTGACTTTGTCACTTTCACGAACTGCAGTTGCTCTTTTGACAAACAAGATTAAGTACATGACTCAGCATATGGGCACTCACAGGAAGGTACATATTCCGGAATAGCTCACTGCCTTTTTTTTATAATGAACATATCTTCATAAATCATGTTCTTTTGCCCGTCTGTATTAGTGTATGTGGGTCTTCAGGAGTGCAGTTTATGTGTTCAGTTATTCACTTAATCAAACAGGTAATATGACAAACGATTCTATCTAATACCAAGGGTTGGGGAAGTACTTTGCCACTTTTGAATCACAGTAGTAACAAAGTACTGAATGCTGTATGTAGGACTATCATTCACGCAAGGGTCTTGAAGCCATGGTTTCTCAGCGGAGGAGACTTCTGAAATACTTACGTAGGAAGGACTGGAATTCTTACTGTGATGTTATTTCAAAGTTGGGCTTACGAGATAACGTGATGGATGCTCCTTCCAAACGATGAACCTCTTTTACGAGCTCCAACGTCTTCCGGCAAGCGATCCTGGTTCACGGTAGCGGTATTGCTACCTTCAGATTTTGATGTAGTTCGAGAGAAGCTGGTGTAACAAGTCCTGACCCGTTCTGCCTTGCCCATGCCGTATTTAGACACTGTTCCATCTCTACATAGCTAAGTTTTGTAAGCAAGAGAAAGGGAGTGACGAAATTACTGGAGTTCTTTCTTCCTGAGCTAACAACCCCGTACCTTTCGATAAGCACATGAAGCAGTTCGAAGTCGAAGAAACACACGCCGACAGTTTTGAATTCCACTGAATATTGAAACAGGGCAACCAGCGAGGCTTCTAAAGTAATTCTTCGGTAGAGTTTTGTACATTAGAGTCTACCATGAATCTAGGATTATTCAGAGGATGCAGCTACCCTGTCTGCACAGAAAGTCGCCGAGGCGGCGGTTAGCATTCCACTTTACATTTACACCATATTGCTTTCCTATCATGCTCAGCAGCTCTATCAATTGGTTGACCTATCAGGTAAAGGATGGGTCCAATTTGGCAAGGCCAAACTTGTCAAGATTTCAGAGGACAATAAGATGGTTGAAGTAACTTCGTTCTTAGAACCGAATAACGGATATGGGATCTATGGCTTCATATTCTCGGATTAAATTCTCTATCCGAATTTGAATGATTGTTTCAACGTTTAGTGCGGATTCCAGCGGCTGTCTATGTAGGCCTCTGCACCCGCTGAATAATGGAATATGTACTTCCGTTCAAAGCTTCTTATTGGGAGCCGAACATTTTTCTTCTGAGTTTCTTGAGCACCGAGAGGTATGTTTTTCGTGCTATGCGTGATCCCTGTTGTGTTTGGCGTTATATTGCATAACTTTGCTGAGCAACGTCGGTCATGAAAGTTGACGTACAGCATGTGAAACTTCTCTGCTTTCCTCTGCCATTAACACGTGCTGACTTCGGCAACAAACTGCAGAGTGATGGCAACTGGCGCTCATTGTCGAGCGAAAGAGACCTCGCATCTTTGATGTCAACTGTACTGGTGACACGAGACCCAGCTCGTGTAGAACCTGATGAAAGTCTGGGAAAGCGTAAGGAGCTCCTTTACATGCACATGAGAAAACGCCACTAACCACAAGAAACCAAAAGCATGGAATTCAAGTAAAGCTGACGGCGACGGCGCTCGATTAGACCTCGCACAGTGTGAATCATCTACGCTCTAATAGCACCACCCAATTTTGTCTATCATCATTATATTCAAAAGTCCAAAGCAACGATGTATGTAACTCAGCGCCGACAGTCATGATCAATTTCTTTTTGCTCGGGGTGGTGAATACACCTTATGTACTTCTCACTTCAGTAAGTGCTCACCAACCACATTGCAGCGCGCACATTCCCCTCTTTGTATTACAACTTGCACTCACAATGCTCCCAAACATCAAACCTCTCACAATGGCTGTCAGCACTCCAAGGCTAGATTCTCCATCCCCGGTTGGTTGGCAGGTAGTCCGCCCTTCTCACGTTGGAATCTCCATCTTAGAGAATGACAATCTTTATGACAATGATTTGAACGGGGTCATGCCAAATCCATCACTCATCTTTAAAATACATACTGAGTTTAGCAGGCTCATTCAATATCCTCGTAGATATCGATACTTCGCCACAAGTTATTTTACAACGTATACTAAGCTCATTCCTTACTGCTTTTTACTGAGGAACCCACAATCCACAAGACAGATCCATAGACTAGCCGAGACATTACCTCCTCAAAACATTCATCTTCGTAGTGCCAAAATATGTACTTGCGTGAGTAGTTTGAAAGATGAAGCCACATTTGATATATTTTCCAGACTATTATATGACACCTTTTTCCAAAATTCTTTTATCACCATGATTGGTTATTATAACTATTCTCAATTTGCATAGATCAAACAGTTCTTATTAAGATGTATCATTCACATGCTACAATAAAAACATAAACTTTTTTATGGTATCAAAATTATAAAATATACATTAAAAGAATAATAGATCTGGAAATTATTGCCAAAATAAACTAGTCCATATATAATTCTAAGAACTGCAAGATCAACAAATCTAGTCCTTACTTTTCATTCATTTCTATCATATTACAGATCATTTTGAAATGTAATAAGAACTAATCTATGCAATCTATCAAATTCTACTCAAACCTCAAAGATGAGCATAACAATATATTTTTACATTTTGTAACAAATTAAATAGAGAAAAATACATCAAAATAATGTATTTGAAACTTAAGTTGAAATTCAAAATAGGAGAAAGCTTGTTGCTCCAATGGCGGTTGTGAGGATGTTCAAGTATTCAAGGTTTTGACTTGAACATAAGACGAGGATTTTGCTCTTGAATACGAAATCATTGCGAATGAAAAAGCTATTCTTATCACTACAAAAATTCAACTTAAATTTTTTATTGAAATATTTAAGAGACAAATAATCAAAATATTTAAAAAACATATAAATATCCATGTTTAAACTTGTACTTTATGAAACTTGTAGATGGTTTTCATGTTTTGTTAGATGTTAATTCAGATCTTCTAATAATTCAGATTAGCTTGACCTCACTTAGTGAAGCGGTTTGAAATGCCAGTACGAAAGCTCTTGATAACACAATTTAGAATTTTCTCTTAGTAAAATCTTTGTGATCCCATGAATATAACGCGCACTGGTGCAGAATGTATCTTCAAAATCTATGCGTGTGGTATGTCATTGTTTCTTAGTTAAGTGCAAAATTTTTGCAACAAATGGTATAAGAACAAAACTATGACTTTTTGCTAGAGGACATGGAGTTACAATTTTAGATCTTTTGTTTGCTTTTGGACATAAACTCGTAGATTGACAATTGACAAATCTCATTGGAATGTAAATTGATGTTCCAAAAGCCTCAAACAATTTGCACTTCTTTTTTGATAAAATGTGTAGCATCACATACATTGATAAAATGTGTAGCATCACGATTGATGACATGACAAATGCATCGGATATGAAAACCATACTCCAACCAAAAAGAGTATTGATCATTCACATTCTGTCTCACAATGATCATGGGCTGTGACATCTCTTCGCCGATGTCGGATGTATCGGTCTCGATCTTGGATCACATGTTGAAATCTTTCACCACTGAAAGAATTAAGTTCGACGTAGTGTGTTGATTATGTGAAAGGGGAAAATAGCAAAATTCCAGCACAATAGACTGAAATTTCCACTCTTTATCGATACAATGAACTGCAATCACCATATAGCCACGTATCACGCGAGACGATCAACAATCTAGAGTGAGAGCAATCTCTCCCTTGATAGATACTATAGTTGAACAAAATTGTAGTAATGTTCATTCAAAATGATTAGATAATGAGCGTGTTTGAGTTTTCCGCGATGGTAGTGAGTTTGGGGGTTGAGACGTCGGCAAAATGATTGAAATGTATCGTTCTTGACCAGGTTGAAAGCTTGTTGATGATCCACCACAAATGCAACCAAGGCATTTAAATTGGCTTTTTTGAACTTGTTGTCCAACTCATAGGGATTATGCAGTTCATCATTAACACCCTAAAAAATCTGCAGAGGATCGCCTGGTTTTTGACTTTTTGTGTTTTACAAGGAGATGACGAGACAACAAGCTTGTTTTAGTTTTGGCCATCTACTTTTCTGATAAACTATGAAGTCAAGGCAGATGATAAGAAATTTATTAGAATCTTTCACCAATTAGAAATGATTCCAAATCCAACCTGCAGAGAATTTTGTCTTTCGTTTAAGAACAGTAGTAGTTGTCGCTATTCGATTAGAGAGAGCAATAGATTCTTCATGTGTACTTGGAGACGAGTATGGGATTGAATCCGCAACGAGAGTAAGATCGTCCATGTTGCACCTCAAAGTATCTGCATGGATAGGAGCAGACATGCTAGAATATATTTAACCTTCAAAAAAACAAAGTTCATCAAGTAAAGAATGACAGAGACTTTTGGAATCTGCACTTTTTTTTGAGTAGTCTTATTTTGCACTTTTTTGTTTGACACTAAGTTTCACAATCTCGATTCGTTGGCTCAATAATAGAGTTCATGATCAGGTTTCGAAGTTGCCGACAAGGAGTTGGAGATTTTGGTAGAAGCATCCGAAACTCTTATGTGAACCTCACAGTTTGCGTTGACGAAAGGTCACCTAGATGTGAAAAGATTTGCTTAGACTTTTGGAGACGGTAATCGCTGAACTGTCCATCATGTTGCATTACTGGATGGCAGGCACTGCAACTCTCTCTAGTTCAGGAGACGAACCGCAGTGAGTTGTCAAGGGTCAGGTTTTGGAAGGAATTTCATGTCCACATTAATGCACGGATGTTAGATACACATGAAAAAGAAGCTCAAAACTCAATGTCAAACTAAGCTACGACACCAATTGGCCACTGCACAACTTCTATAATTAAATCAGATCGTGAAACAAAAGATTTACTTCATTGACGTTAAGTCGTTGGATTTGTAACATGACATTTGGGATTAAAATTTCCGTGAAATAGTGTAACACTAGGGTTTAGAGAGAAGCTCACTCGAAGATAGAAACGTAAACATTAAAGATGAGAGATACCAACAATGGTTCTTCTCTCCCCTATATAGCTCTCACCAACAAGTACAAGGAGATAAAATCTTATCCCCACCATCCATCCCACTCATAGTGGATGGATGACATGGTGGATAACCCTAACAAGCACACGGATCGCTGACGTGGCGCTCCCAACTAACACTAACAATCCTTACCTACAAGCACATAGATTGCTAACGTGACACTTTCAACTAACACATCCACTCTATACCTACCAAGTGTGCGGATCGCTGACGTGACAGCTATGATTAGTGCACACTAAAGTATCTATATCAATATTTAGAGTAACCTGTACTTTAGTTCCAACTAACTGAAGATTGTTACAAACCTCACTCCTTTTAAGATGCAACGTCTTCGTTGCACATACGTTCAAACTCCTGAACTATCAAAGGTGCATTTGCTAAATTTTTAGCTGGTTTCCAAGTTGATTCATACGATGGATAGTCTTTTCATTGAATCAAATACTATACTTTGGGATATTTATGACTTCGAATACGTTTCCTGAGTATCTTTTCTACCTCATACTCCTCATGATCCGCTATCAAGGTTAGAAGAGGAGGTGGTGCTGGTTGGTTGGTGAATTGTTTTGGTCGTGGTACATGTTTTCGCAATCGTGACACATTAAATACTCGGTGTATTTTCATATGTGACGGAAGTTCCAACTTGTATGACACTTCACAGACACACTTCAAAACAAAAAATGGACCAATGAACCTAGGGTTCAACTTTGGTGTTCATACAAGAGACAAATTTGTTGTAGATAATCAAACATGATTTCTAACCTCAAAAACCACTTCTCTACGATGAGCATCGGCATGCTGCTTTTGCCGATTTTGAGCTATCATCAACTTCTCCTTGGCCTGATATAGTCCTCGGTGAATATACTCCACAAATTCGTTGACTGCTGCAACTTTGATCGAAAACTACTCTCCTTTGGGAAGTCTCATCAAACTTGAAGGAGTTATAGGATGAGTTTCATACATAAGAAAAAATGGAGACACTTTTGTGGATGCATTAACAGATTGTTATATGGAAATTCGACAAGTGGCAAAAGGTTGTCCCACTCTTCTTGCTCTTCTAATGTGAATGCTCGTAGCATATCCTCTATGGTTCTATTTGCCCTCTCCGTTTGTCCATCAGTTTAA